AAGTTTTCTTCTCATATGTTTTTCTCACAGGTAATATTTTTTCTTCTTTAAAGTATTAGTGTCCATTATTTGCTACTTGCAGTTTAAAGAAACGTAAGGACATTTATTTACTGATTATATTCATTGGTAAATAAGTCAATTGGCACATTTTGTATATATTGGGCCGCGGTCATTTGTAAACGAACACAAGTGATTCAATTCGTCTATTAGATTTGTAATAAGAGGACTACTTAAAAAATACTTACATGCTGATTCTGTTTATTTTAAAATCTGCAATCATTCATGTAAATAAATGCACTTTCTTATTTATGTACTGCTTTCAGGTTTTGGCCTAGGAGTAAATTTTAATTGTTGCATGTCTGCTTTGAAAACCTACTTTGGCAAAAACAAGACTTTAGCTGCTGGTATTGCATCAGTTGGTCACAATCTCGGTCTTGTGATATTTGCTGATTTGATTTCTTCTTTGGATGAACACTTCGGCTGGAAGGAGATGTTACTTTTTCTAAGCGGAATTACGTTAAATTTAAGCGCTATGCAATGGTAATGTTTCCAATACAATCCGGAAATGATATAAAAGTAAATTATAAGAAAACATCCGAAAGGAATTGCATTAATATTTCCATTTTAAGAAAGTCATCGTTTGGTTTTCTTTGTGCAGGTAATGTTCTCATGAGCTTCACCCAGGGAGTTTATATATTACATAAACATTCCTACGCTAAAGAGGTAGGTCTCGACAAAATGAAATTGGACTATTACTTATGAATTATGGAATATAAATTTCGTTGGTAAATTTTTCTATAGTTTCTTAGGTCACCATCGACAAGTTAATGAAGCATTTGTATATACTACTTGTTTATCACTTGCAATAACAGGAAGATTTTACTCCGATGTGCCTGAGAAGAACCGGTATACTTGTTTTACCGAGATGTGTCGGGTTTTTCTTCAGTGTAGCCGGTGCATTGATCAATGCCGTTATTCACGATATCGTTGAATTTAAAAGATTCACAGACGGAATTGGGATGTCCTTGCCTTTCAAAGCAACCGGCAATCTCATTGGAGGGCCAATCGCCGGTAGAGTTTATGCGCTCTATTAAGGGTTATTGTAACTACAATCTCAGGTCCCACTCAAGCCAAACGCTGCTTTTCACGAACTGGCACAAAAATGTAAATTTTAAGCGTGATCCACTGGGGAACCATTTAAATGCCTTTACATGTTAAGTGAAGAGAAAGATGGTCTGGGTGGAAGTTTCACAGTGATTGAGCTAGTAGGTTTTATCTAAACAAGGATATACCTCTTCTTGCTTTATGTCGTTGATTATAGGTGTTCATACAGCGGGCTTGCTAATTCATAACCGCAAACAACAAAAGACATGAGATAACCAAAGGCGCAAATTATAGGAGTCAACATAATGGGAAGAACTTATGTGGGAATTTGAGCAAAAACCATTGACTACATGAGCACAGAACAAAAAAAATCAAAGACTTGATAACCTCAGATTTCCTTTATAAATTCAAGTGCAATCTGTTTCGCAAATTGCTTCCTCCTTTTCTCGTTTAGAGCACACGCATTCTTATACTTGGTAACCATGGAATGGCGCTAACGTGACACATGGAAGGTTTGCTGCGTCCTGTGAACGTTGCCTTTGCTTTGTTGATCTTTATTCTTGTTTTTGTGTACACCTCGTTATACATCTGCGGATGTTTCTAAATTCACAGTTTCACAACATCGTATTTAGATATTGAATTCTTCTTAAGCTGGTGTTCGGTGGAGTAATAGTTTGTTTGCATTACAACTACCTCCGATGAACAGGCTCAACAAAACAGAACCTTCAACATTTTCAATTTTTCCGTTTTAGCTATCATTCTATCTTAATGTATTATCATGGTATTTTGTAATGCATAAAAACATGGCTATCATACTAACTTTTTCAATATATTTAAACGACTCCAAATTGATGCGACTCAGAATAAACAAACAACAAAAATACAACATCTTATGGTCAATTTCTATTGAACTCCGAAGTGATGCATATCTTCTTATAATAGATACTAGGATATCAAAATCAAATTGCGAGATATTCCTTCGAAAGAATATATACCTCAAATTGAGACAGCTCAAGGTCTAGTTGAAAGCACGACAACAAGAGATTTCAAACAATTTACACAAGCCATAAACCTTTTACTCAGAATGATAAAGGATATACGAAAACAACTGTTTGCATCTATCTTTTTTATGAATTAATCCACTGTACCGACACCCACCCATCCATGCGCACGAATAACGGCCTTTGAAAGATATGCAACACCTAAGATTCTGCGCAAATAATCTACCCAGTTACTCAAAGTGTATATTCATGTTTTTAGGGACCGTAGAAGTGAACCTTGTCCGTATAATTTTTGCTATAGCCTTTTTCAGTTAACACATGACGTTCTATGGTATTTGAGGAGGTGGTATATTTACAATCGAAAGTGCATCACAATAAATATGAATCTTTATCGGTCTAAATTATAGTTTATAATTATTATATCTGTTCAACTTTTAATAATTGCCTACACGTTGTTTTACTTCTTTGAATTGCGCAAAGTAAAAAATTCATCACGTGACTAAGTCTAAGTACCCCCATGCAAATTATATCAATAGGTTTATATTTGAAATAGACAAAAAGGGTAACGTAAAGGCTCACCCTAAATGTCAATCATTGAAAAGTGTTCAGGCTCGGTTTGATTGGATCTCTTTGACATATAAGTAGCCATTTCATAGCAAGAAAATCACAAGCTATACTTCTAGAAGGATCGCATATGTAATGATAAAAAATAATATTTTCAATATGTAGCTTTTTGGCATGTTGGTGATTTTCTTTCTTTGTGTTTGCCCTTGTTTTTGTTGTTGTTGTTTTTTTTTTTTTTTTTGTTGTTTTTTTTTTTTTTTTTTTTTTTTTTGGGGGGGGGGAGGGTGGTTGTTGTTTTTTTGTTTGTTTTTTGAAACTTCGACGAAATAAAACAAACATTGAAATGATGTAGCACTTGCGTTTAAGTTCATCTCTGGATTGATATGGCTTGTGATTGAAAAAGATTTTTTGCTATCCCAGAAATATTGTCGAAATTAATTGCTGCAATGTAATTTATATAACAGATCAAGATAATTTTATCTATGTACTCTGTTTTCTTTAACGGGAGTTATTATTTATGATATATACCTGCGATTCAATAATTTCTATAAACAGAACATATAATCATGTAAATAATATATTTTTAAGTTCTAACAAAGATTTCGATACAATGTATATATATCAACGAGAAAATTACACTTTAAAAGTTAAACCGCTTTTGTTTAATGGAATCATATTTGCATTTTCTTAGTGGTTAACTGTTAATACCTTATCTTGATTTTTTGCATGTGAATACTGTAGAATTTGGTTATTTATTTTTGTCTGTACTGTAATTACTGTAATTTTTGTACTGTAATTACTGTAATTTTCTATGCTCTTACCAAATGAGAGTAGGAAACGACCTTAATAAATGTCCTACGTTCCCATGACATTTCACTCCAGCCACAAAGTCTTTTTCTCCGCAATTTATAAATAACCTAGTTCGTGAATATGCTTTGCAAAGCCTGGTGTTAAACAGTAGAAATACACAAGTATACATGTAGTATATTACCACCTAGTAGGATATTCAAGGTTATTTGCACATAACTCTTCGCAGGTGAATAATAACATCGCTGAATAAGTACGGTTAAATTTCATGTTTATATATATTAGATAATGGAGTTAAAAAGAATCATTGCTATATCAGTTTACGTGTTTGGAATTATTTTCACGATTGTTGGAATTGTGTTTGACTGGTTTAATTTTTCAGAACTTCGTCAAAACCAGAAAAATATTGAAAAAAACTGAAATCAAAAGATGTGACACGGACGTTAAAGTTTATCCTGGATCTATATGGCTTTTGTGATAGGAAAAATGCTTTTTGCTGTCCCAGAAAATGTCTTTGTTGGTAAAAGTCTACGCATTGGAAGTGATAAATTAAACGACTGCGACACGTTGTCATTGATAATTACCTTCTTCTTGTCATTGTTTCAATGCCTGGATCTTCTCATATTGATAATATTTTCCTTTGATTGTCTACAGCCAGAAGGCTCTAACGTTTTTCATGACCTAATACGAGACACTTTAAATGATTTTTTATCAGGTTTGTTTGGAACTGCTGGGTTAATTCTAAGTCTTACAGTGAAAAAGAACTTCTCAGTCGTATCTAAAGTGGCAGGATCCTGTTGTCAGAAAAAAGAAATAACCACTACATACCGTGTTTTTTCTGTCCTTTTGATGATTTGTGTTTTAATTTCTTTGATTCTTGCAATCATATTACTTTATATCTTCATTGACGAGCAAAATAGTGATGAACAGTGCGAAATGAATGGTGGTGTAAACTGCACAATGACTAGTGGTACAAACTGCACAATGACCAGTGGCGCAAATTGCACTATGACTGACTAACTGTGACTAGTGATACAAATTGCACACTGACTGATGGCATAAAGTGCACTATGACTGACTAACTGTTTTATCAGAAACAAAGACTATGAGTTTGTGACAGGCTATTCATTATCAATAAACTTAAATTGCAAACTGAAGTAGTGTTACTGTAATTGAAATAAACATAATACTACTTTTTGGGAGACGACTAAATGTTTGACATGAATTTATTCTGGAGATCAAAATCGAGCAACCAAAGAAAAACATTTGTAAAGTATAAATGACTAGTGGTTTAAATATTTTGTGTAAAAAATATTTATAAATAAAACAAAAATCAAGTAGATGTCGAACAAAATAATATGTTTTTGCAAGTATGATACTACAAGGAAGGTTAACATCTCAGAAATGTAAAACACATTTAAGCAGGTGTCTCAAAAGGGAGATATTAATTATAAACACAATGTACAAATATCAACATTCTGGAATAATTGTGTGGGTTTTTTTTACATAAAACTAAAATATATATATAATTTGTTCTACTTTTATTATGCATTATTGCCCGTTCATCGCTACTTTCTTCATCTAACATGCTCAAAAGTCATTATCATTTCACATAATTGTGCACATGTTTGATCTTTGTAATGAATAAAAAAGTAATGATTTCTGAGACATCTCGACAATTATTTATGAAATTACAATTTAATACATATTAAGACAACTTTATATTCAGTCATGATTAATATTCAATATATCTGTTGACTTCGATTTCGACCACAACATATTTGTGTCAAATGTCTTTTTTCCTATCTCACTCCAAGGGTTCTGCCTTTTTTCAGTCTTCAAAGATGCATCGCTAAATAATTATATTCTCGTTTTTCCATGACGCTCCGAAAAAAATCACGAAAATAAATTATTTAAAATACATTTTTATTTAAATGTTTGTAATGATTTTTGCTTGTCTTTATATTACTAAAATTATACTTCATAAAGGAAATTTGACATACTATTTGATATTGCAAAAGTTGTATATTTTGTCATACGAAATGAGATCAATATCAGACCACAAACATATGGTTCCATCATTGCTCGATCCCCTGAATATATGAGTTGTCATAATAAGGTTTCTAGATCAGATGACATCATATAACTGTATTGAGAAATTATCTAACAATACTAATATGTGTATGCTAGATAATCTTTTAACGTTACTAAACACAGATAAATAATATACCATATTCGTAGTTCTTCAATTTTCAATGAATGTAATACCACGTGAATGGTCTTGATTTGTATAATATTCACAACTAATGAATTTTGCTTTAGTCGGTGCTAGGGGGCGTTGACTTGTATGGTAGCATGTACTTTCCAGTATCTTCCCAAAAACAGGCTTAATCAACCCGAGCCTGCAAGATTTTCAGTGTTGCAATTTTGGACATTCTTTAGCAATTTCTTCTTTCTCTATTTGATTTAATAATATCATGATGATTATTATTTTCAAACAATTAAAAAGATGTGTCGTTATTTTTCGCTATCCAAACATGGAATCTCTTCATAAATTCTGTCACCCGTGTCTGTGTCCATCATCTTTGAATTATTACATAAAAATGGTTCGCATTGTTTTTCATCATGCTCTTTTATTTCCTGATTGTCTGCCTTATTAAACGATGCTTTCCCGTCGATTACTACGTCCTGTTCACAAACAATATTGATATTTTTGTTTTTGTGATTCTTTTCTCGTTGTCTTATATGAACTATTGGATGGACCATAAGACAAGATGCTAAAATCATACTGACACCGGCCATATAAAATGAAAAGGCATAACTTCCAGTAATTGTCAGCAAGACACCTGAAATAGATATTAAATCTGGTCAAATCTTGATTATTTTATCATTTCTATATTTTACAACATACAATCTCGGACAAAAAAAAGAATAATATAGTTTTGGTCCGAAATACAATGCAGCATTCCTTCATAACATTTTGTACACGTGATCTAACAAACTCAAAACAAATACCTGCTTGTGCTGTATAAGTTATCTTCCATCACGTATTTTGTAAGTTTTCGGAATACAGTCTTAGTATTCTTCATATGATTGGTCACTGAACTCTTAAAAATAAGGCTAATTTATCTCGATCTCAGAATACGAAAAACAAGATCAACAAGAAAGGGGGGCATTCAATGAACGCATATTCATATTCATTACAATATCTTTAAATAGAAACAGCTTTCTTAATCAATTCTAAATTTCACCATTTTCATATTTAAATATCGAATTCTACTTAAGAATGTGTCTGGGTGGCAAGGACAGTATCTTGTGTTTTACAAACCGGAAAACTAAACTAAGTCTGAGACATTCTTACACTTTGCCGTGATGGGGCGACTTTCAGAGTTTTTTCATTCCTTATGTTTAAAATTCTTACAATTACATGTATTTGTAAAACTGAGCACGCCCTGCTCTGGATTTTTTTTTTTTAAAAAAACTGCAGTTTATATAAGGAATTAAATGATGAAAGAATTTAGCAGCCTACTCATGCTTCATATACACCAAGGTTGACTAACATCATTGATGACAAAGGCTTTGCTGTTTCTGTCCCAGCAGTTTAGATGTTAAACTTAAAGAACTTGTCTCCAACGAAAAGTAAAACGTCAATCTATAAAGAACTCTATGCAATATAAATAAAGCAAGTAACTTTGATATGAAACTAGAAGACAATATATCATAAAACAGCTTACCCGCTAATGGCCCTCCGATGAGATTACCTGTTGCTTTAAACGGCATTGACATTCCGATCCCGTCTGGAAACCTTTTAAATCCGACAATACTGTGGACAATAGCGTTGATTAATGCCCCTGTTACACAGAAGAAAAATCCGACACAGCCAGCTAGCACAAGCATCCCAGTTCTTGTGAGGAACACTGGAGTTAGACCCATACTTATTCCAGTCATTGTAAGTGAAATAGTATATACAGCCATTACATTAACTTGTGGATGGTGACCTAAAAAACTATAAAATACTTTGCCAATGATATTTGATATACCATAAACCATGAGCACAGTTCCAAAGTCATTTTGGTTGAAACCTACATCTTTTGAATATGACGGTAAATGCAATATATAAATTCCTTGACTTAAGTTAACAAACACATTACTTCCACACAGAAAAACCGAGAAAAGTTTATAAAATTCCTTTTAGAAGTTTTCATCACAGTTGCGGTTCTAAAATGATCTGTTTGAGCATATTTTTCAACACTTATCGGGAACATTACCATTGCGCATGCGCATAGATTGAATGTTAATCCGCTAAGGACAAGGAACATTCCTTTCAAGGCAAAGTGTTCAACCAAGAAAGAAATCAAATCAGCAAATATCACAAGACCAAGATTGTGACCAATTGATGCAATACCAGCAGCTAAAGTCTTGTATTTGTCAAAGTAAACGTTCAATGCCGACATACATCCATTATAGTTAATACCCAGTCCAAGACCTGAAATTATAAATTAACAAACTAGTAATACTTTAAAATATAACAGTCATGTATTTCATATTTGAAACGTTAAAACGTTAAAAAGGCAATTCAATTAAGCAAAGTTTTGAAACAGACTTTGTACCTGTTATATACAATTGGTTGGTACATGGTGTATGTATATATGGAGAATGTCGGTGGTTCAACTCAGGTGCCTGTCCGTCCCTAAACACTGACCAGAGCGGAGCCTGAGGCCATTATGGTCCTAGTAAAGCTGAAAATACGCCATATTGCCTTAACAGTGTTGGCGTGACGTTAAACTCAACCAAAACTATGTATGGATGGACAAGATGTATCTAACAAATCAAATCCATATTCAGAATTGATACAAACAAGTTCTAACCATTATTCATTTTCTGTTCTATTCCTGTACATTATTTACAACGATTGATCAATCTCTAAGCATTTGAGAGTTAACTTTTCATGAAGCAAGAACAACAACCATTACAGATACCATAGCAACCATGCACCTTAGTACCTCTGCTTTAGTGACTTTTATTATTAGACACTTTGTAAGACAATAGAACAAACCTGTTAGAAAACCGTGTGAAAAGAAAAGGTATGTTAAACTTGTAGCGAAGTAACTCAGGGAAAGTCCCAGTGCTGCTAGAATGCCTCCCACAAACGAACAAACACGACAGCCATAGCGATTTGTCAATACACTTCCTATCGGTGCTGAAATATAAAATATCTATACGTAGATCATTGTTACAACAATACAAGTTCCAGCATAAAGTGATTGACACCTTGGGTCTCAATCTGATATCCTCGGCTATTTTGCTTCGCAATAAACTCTTATCCGAAGCATATGGAAAGAGCCGATGTTTTACACTAACTTGGGTCTTCGTCCACACGTTCAGCAGCATATATACCGCATTATTTCAAATATATGTATTAATACGTTTTCTTTCAGATTTTTTTAATTATCCTGACACAGGTTAACACAATTTTATAATTGAATAGAAATTTGTATCATTTCAATCTTTTGCAATGAATATAAAAATAAATGTTACCACGGATTTATATTATTTATACATAAAATATAAAATGTTTTCTCTTTAAAATTAAATGAACAGAAAATATCACGTTTTTATTTAGATCAAGGGCATATATTCAGTACCCTAAGTTGTGAGATATTTAAAAGTAAATAAAAAAGGAGAGTATTAAAACAACCAAATAGATCTACGATCAATTTAGAAAAATCCATCTACCTATACTTGTGTAACTGCAGTTTTCTTTTTTTTTATTTCAGTATATCCTATTTCATGTACAAGGGCCTTTTAAAAGGTTATTTATATCTTCGCATTCCGTTTAACTACATAAAATTTATAAAGGAGGAGAACCGAAACGATAAGAATTGTAAACGAACAAATTCACATCATTTTCTTTAGCTTTCGTGACAACATAAAGCCTGTGTAAGATAAGGGTGAATATAAATATGAAGTCACTTTATCCACAAAGTTAGATAATGAATATGTCCAGGAAATAATCGATTATGTTTAAACATATTTAATTCCATACACAATACATAATATACAGATTTAGCTATAGACGCCGTAAATTGGATAAGAGCGAAATATATCGATCTTATAAAGTTATTCTCCGAATAATTGCCTTTGAATGACATTAACTGTCTCGCTACACTTATGAAAGGGAAAAATGACTCACATGAAATAAACCACATGGTGATAGGAAGTGAACACAACCAGGATGTTTCCACGGGTTTGTCACCGAATGCATTCGTGAACTCTATGTAAAATATTCCACCCGATAAGCAAATCCCTCCAAGTACAACTTGACAACAAACCACACAAAACAACACTAACCAACTCCATCCACTATCTCTTTTGATATTTGTCATGTCTCAGATCTAACATGCTATTCCATAAGCACTATCTCTAAGCGGTCCAATATAATCAAGTTTAATATTTAGGACATTTCGTATCAGATAAAATGTTTTATAAACTAAGCTACTCATACAGTACTAAACAAGAAAAAAAAGATAATTAAGCATTTATAAATAAATAATTCTTTTTAGATCCATAGAGAAAACACGTGGATGTATGTCAATAAACATAATATCGGTAGGTTTAGTATCTCAACAAAAATATGTATTCTATTTATATACAACGATTATATATTATATGTGTATTTAATATACATGCAATGCATACGTGCAATACAACCATCGATTAACAACCATAGTGAATACCGTTTTCCTATGTTCAGTGATATAAAGAACCGTCAGCATTAGATGTTTGATTGATGGCAACTAAAGATTAAAGGTTGACTACGTGACAACTTGAAGCACGTTCATTCTAAAATTGCTTTGCAGTAATTGTGTACATTAATTAATAGCGCGTTCATTTAACATCGTTACACACCATTAAGATGTATACAGGTCATATGTTCATTAATTTATACTATATGTGTATTTCTAATAATTATGGTGTCATTTTGACTTTACTTTGATAGGAGTAGAATCTTTAATAAGAAGTAAATTTGTACTTTAAAATGTTGATATGCAAAATAGATAAAAATTAATTATTAATCAATTAATTAATTAATCTATGAATTGAAATTATTGAATTGAATTGAATAAATGAATGAATGAACGAACGAACGAACGAACGAACGAACGATCGAATGAATGAATGAATGAATGAATGTTTACTTTAGATTAAGTTATAAACAGCATGTTAAAATTTGCTTCGTGGTAGACTTTTGGGAAGCAAGGTGTCATGGAGGCAGCCAATGAGTGCTTTGAGGACCAAAATAGAGAGTGCTATTTTGAAGGGTTAAACAAGTTGGAGCACAGGTGGGCAAAGTGCATTGATGTAGAGGGCGATTATATTGAAAAGTAAGACCATTCGTTGGGTGGCCCCGATGGTGTGTTTAATGAATGAATTTCCCGAAAAAATTAGAGCAAAAATGTAAATATTTAGTTATATATGATAAAATTTATGTTGAAAAACACTTGGGTAGCCCCCTCACCCGAGTTGTAGCATGTTCGAATCCCAAATTACTAAGAAAATTATTATAGGCTAAAAATTTTATTAAAAAATGGAGGAGTTTCCATCATTACTTATGAAGGAAAAATAGTTCATTACCATAAGACCAAAATATAGAAGAGGTTTTATGGTTCTCAAATATTCTATCAATTCCAGGAATGAGGATATGGTAATTTCCTAAATGCTCCCTCCATGCTATCCAGGTGTAAACATTTTGGTCTACCTTTTTATCAATCTTCTTAATTGGTCAGTACCAAAAATTACACAAAATCCAGTAATAAAAGTGTGTAAATTCTGCAAGGGACACACTTGGAGGGAATTGATTTTTCAGGACTCCTGAAGTGTTGTGTTGCTCTGAAAATTGTATATCATATCTTTAATTAGTACTCTGTTGAGGCCTAAAGCATCATGCCTAAAGCAGGGTCTTTCAAACACTAGTAGTTAAACACGAAGTAGACACATACAATGAAACATGCTGGAATAAAACTAATGAAAGATAAATGATTGCCCAGAAAAAAAGATACTTAAGAGAACACTGAAAGGATGTTCTAACTAGACCTTTTTTAAATTAAAATTATTCAATAATGGTAAAAGATATGGACTTTATTATTTGCATTAATTAATTACATGGCCAATGCTTTTTAAAAATCATGAAAATCATCGACCGTGACGATATTCCAATTTGCACATGCTTTCATGTGTAGTTTTATAATTATGCACGAGATTATGTGAATTCAGTGCTCAAAATCGATTTTTCTTATCAAATCAGTATTCTATAGCAAAAATCATACCAAAACCATTTAAGTGATAGAACTGCTGAAATTCCACGTATGAACAATGCAGAACGCGCTCGCGCAATTGGCATGTTACAGGCTGACTCATCCCGAGTACAGGTATTCATCATTGAAATATTCTGTTCATCTAAATATGGTATTAAATCATTCTTCGTGAAATAATTTATTGTAAATAACAATATTTAATCAAATTATTTTAGCATTTATAGCTTAGAAAAATGTACAGATATGATATGAAGTTGCATGTCTTCTGTTCTCTCTGCAAGTTGCTCGATTTTTTGGCAGGCATGTCTGTACAATCACCAACCTCTTCACCAAGTTCCAGCGCGCAGATCGTGTTGAAGAAGAGCGCAGGCAACCTCGCAGAAAAGTGACAACTCCAGCACAAGATGCACAGATTGTTGCTGATCACCTTAACAACCTTTTAGAACTGCAGCTTCAACCGCCAGGCAGACGATAGGTACTCATAACAGATCAATAAGCTAGAAAACGGTACTTAATCGCCTCCGTGATCATGGTATAAGAGCAAGGAGGCCGTTTCGTGGCCTTGTACTTACCGACGTACATCGCCGAAGACGTGAGCAATGGGTCCGCCGTCACCAGAGAATGACTCGTGCTGAATGGGCCAACGTCTTATTCACAGACGAAAGCCGTTTCAACTTGAAAAACAGTGACGGCAGGATGCGCGTCTATAGGCGTCGAGGCGAGCATTTAAACGACAGCTGCTTTCACGAGCGTGACCACTACGGTGGGGATCGGTGATGGTTTGGGCTGGGATTTCATTTAATACTAAGACCAACCTCGTAGTCATCTGTGATAATCTCAACGCTTTGAGATATCAACAGGAGATTCTGATTCCGGAGGCCATACCTCACCTGCGTGCCGGTGGGCGAGGTATGGTTCTGATGCAGGATGGGGTGACCCCGCACAAAGCTGCGACCACGGAGAGGCTTCTACGACAGCAACAAGTGAGAGTTCTTCCATGGCCGTCTAAATCCCCGGACATGAACCCCATTGAGCATTTGTGGGATGAACTTGGCCGCCGTGTTCGGAACGGACCGAATCCGCCCGCAAATCTTGTTCAGTTAGAGTAGATGCTGATCCAAGAATGGGCCAACATTCCTCAGCAGACTATTTCAAACTATGTTATGTCGATGAGACAACGATGTGCTCACTTACTGAGAGCTAGAGGTGGTCACACTAAATATTAAACCAGAGAGTTTTACCAGGACAGTTAAGTGATATTGTTGAGTGACTTTTCACATTGTTATTTTGCCGCCATTTTGCGACTTTGACTTTTTATAAGACTGTTTTTTTTCTGTTAAGTTTGACATTTTATCGAAATGTGATTTGAATAAAATTCTACAGAAGTATGCGTCGTATGTGTAGAAATAAATATCCGAAATATAACCTTAATTGATCAATACAATTACATTAAAAAATATAGCTGATTAACCAAAGGTCTAGTTAAATAAAAAGGACCATTTCTTAAAATGGTACTCAACCATGTTTGGAATAATTGCAATTTCTTTTTCAATAGTGTTTTAAATATGAAAGAAAATGACAGAAAAAAGGTAACTTTTGTTGTTGTTTTCTTTCTTCTTTTTTTTTCTTTTTTTGTTGAAAAATGAAATACTTCATTAGATGAATAATGAAATGTATTACATCACTTTGTTATGCAAAATATCAAAACATATATTTTTTAAGCTGAAAAGAATAGGTATTCCATTTCAATTTAAAACAGTTCCTAATCTATTACACATTATTTCAACATAATGATATTCTCAGAATAAATGTATCATACTTTCAGGCTGCATGTTACAAAAATCACACAAGTTTATACTCGACAATTTCATTTTTCAGAGATATTTTATTTGTTGGAATTATTCGCATTAGAAATTTAAACTGAAATGTCCTTATTTTGGTATCAACAGTAGCTTTTCAAATTTGGCTTTATACTAAATTCCATTTTATATCATTATTTTCCAAAACATTTTCCCATTTATTTTCAAATTTAATTGATTTTGGTTTAACCGTTCTTTGCTTCGTATATATAGTAAATAATTTGGTGTTTTACTTTGCTTAGGTCTTTTACTAGAGTATATATATTTTTTTACTACACTATATATATGATATTTTCATCTTAAAGAATTTGTTCTTTGCTTTTGATTTTTGCTTGTGTTGATTTGGTAGAATTTTAGAAATTCATTGTTTTTTTAATTATATAATTCTTTAATATGCTCAAAGAAGTAAAAAAATCCTACTGTGCTAGATATTTAATACCTTTGTCAAACCATTTGCTTTTATATAAAAAAGAGTAATACCAAATGATTTTTATCTTAAAATTGATCCATATTTTTTTGCTTTTCAATTGTTTCATTTAATTTGTCAAATTTGATACTATGCCATGCAACAAGAAAGGCTGTAAGAAAAGTATTGTGTTTACAAAATTGTTTGATATCTTTATTATCTATTTTACTTTCAAATATTAGGTCCCCTCCTGCTTGTTCCAATGTTTTATTGTAAAATGTAATCCCAAGCACATTTTCATCATGAGACAGGAAACTTTTGGCTAAGCATGCTTTGATATAACTTGAAAAAAATATTTATCATTTAAAGCCCTTTATCTTTTATTCTACATGTACTTGTAATATATCTCTATTTTTTCTGTTTTGTAATTCCATATAAAATTATACTGCAGTATAGGTCTTTTGTTATTTTCTTTAATATATATATCAGACGGGTTTGGCAAAACAGTAAAATGATAAATAAGTTTTGGTAATGCAAACCATGCAAACGTTTTCATTACTGTGATTTTTCGAAATAAAGTCAGTTTTCTATGTTCCCAGTGTTTTAAACAATTTTTAGCTTAGGTTGTAAATTGAGGTCTATGTATTTAACGTCGTTTGAAAAGCTGAAGCCTATTGTTTTAGCAGATTCATTTAACGTGTTTATCTTTTCAAAATATTAAATACGTGTCTACAAGAGACGGCAAGCTTAAAATAGTAGATTTAGTTCAAATTAAGTTTTAGACCTGATACATATTCAAACTTTGTAATGATATTGAGAAGTTTTTCAAAGGATATGACAGCCTTGACAATTTTCCAAATAAACCTTTTAATTTTATGCTTTTCAGTGGATTACTGATTTATCCGTGAAAATTATATTCGATAATTTCACAGTGAAAATTATCAAAATATAATTTCACACTTTTCAATGACGAAACTACTTTTTTAAGATTTTCCCCATGTTGTACCTCAATTTTATTTTTGCTGACTATTCTGTCGATATCAGGCTGTTTAAAGAAATGCAAAGCTGAAATTGATAAATAACTTATATGTCAAAAGTAATAAAAAGAAGAAAACTTACAATAAGTTACTTCTATTCATTAAAATTACCAATCACCAAATATCGTCTCTTTAATTTTTTGTTTCATTTTACAGTCTGAAAAATACATTCCTTCCACATGCAAAACTGCTCTTGATGACATTTGGGAATATTTAAGTATCCTACGAGCAAAAACTGCAGTATGCTTTATGAAAACTTGAAAAGCAATGGCAGCTTTCTGTCGAAGAATATGTTAAACAACCCAGCGTTCGTAAGGCTTCCAAGTTTTCCAATTTCCTATCCACTTTTTTGAATGTTTACACATCTGTCAACACTTATTTATTGTCTGTTACAATCCTCATATAAGTTTTTTTTCTTTTAAAAAGGTGTATGACTAACAAATCCAAATGATATCCCTCTGAATCAAACACAATTATTTTCCTCCAGTGAAATACACAACTTGACGGCCGTTTACATTTAACATAGCCAGGTCTAATATAAATTCGCAGTCAGTAACAGAAATATGGATGGATGGTTGGACCTTTTCTCCTACTAGAATTGTTTGTTTTTATTATTTAAACATGCGATCAGACATATTTTTTTAATAAAATGAATACTATCACCACCATTTAACGTTGATTGTGGAACTTATTTTTCAGCCCATGTCTTCTTGTATTTAATGAGAAATTCGACTTTTTTGAGGCTCTAAATGGGGAAACAGATTTTAATATTAACGTAAATATTAAGGAAATTTCGCTTTAACTTGTTTTTAAGCATAAAATAAAAAGAAAATTTGTTTGTTTGTTGTGTAAGATTTAATTTTATTTCATCTCGTGAACTTTAAAAACAGTATTCTCACTCGTGGCTACACACAAACAAACAAATATCCTCTATATCTTAGTTGTAGCTAATGAATGTGTGTAGACTTAATATTAATTTTATTGAACGAGTTACAATAAAATCATATTATGCTAGCCTCTGGGATTTTTTTTACCAAAGATACCCACTCCTAAATATAAGCTCTAGCTCTTTCGATTTTTTAGAAGATTTTTTAAAGTTTTTTTGTTGTTGTTTTTTTTCGTTCGGTTGCCATGGCAACCAGAATTTAGCATGAAATGGAATATATTGGCCTATCAGTATAGGAGATGTTTTTTAAGAGTATTGCAAAAGATCACTCTTGAGCAGTTTAGTGTAACGCTAACATTAGCACGCTTTAATTATATTTTTGTATATAATTCAAATGACTCACTGCAAAGATTTATTACACTAGTGTACTATCACTGTTTTAAATAGCTTTATAACACTCCTGCGCCATTATATTATACACAACATTAATATGTCAAAATATAAGACATTGACTGTCACTAAAAATATGTACTTGTACAGTAAGCATTTCGTACATAAGATTATATACAAATGAGGGTGAAAAAAGAAGAAACCATATTCTACAAAAATTACAATTTTTTATTATTACACGAACGTCAATAATGGGAGTACATAGAGGATAAGACTTTATACAATAGTACTGTTTATTAAAAAAAAGAAAATGGTTTAATTCCTCATACAGAAGGGTTAGTGTAAAATCGTTGTAACTCGTAAGACATACAAACAGAGATACAACCATTTTGCCTCTATCTCACACTATAGTTTATCTCTTTCTAAAACAGAACATTGCCCCCAAAAAGCTCTAAATATACATGTATCAGACATAATACACACAGAAACTCAGAGAAACATGTTACTTTGTTTTCATCAAATGTTGTACCTTTTTTTGTCTTTTTTGAAATTTTAGTAGCTTATATATTACCAAAAATAAAGAGGTCATTTAAATTCCATATGGCTCTTTCAAAATAACAAGGTGCCTATTTATATCTATTTTGTCATTGGATAAAAATATGGCTAAACAAGTGTTTGACCCATGTAGTTGGGTAAACTATCTTATATTCTCTTAGTTTATAATCATGATAAATAAAGTACACAAAACATGTACATGTATCAAACAATGGTTACAATACATTCACAAAACATACATGGTGCCAACTACAATCTACAATTGTTAAAGTATGTAATAACATGTGATTTAAACTTTAAAAAATGAAGAAAATTGCGTAATTTATTGCTGCCTTTGTATTAGTTATAAAAATGTCTCAAAATATACCTGAATATAATCTTTGATTTTCACCATAACTGAACACATATAAATAACACACATATGAACTGTATATATAACATATAATCTGATTAAAGTCATGCATTAGGATCTGACAACCACCAAAAAAATTGTCACCTTGTGACCTTTCCAACAGCCTATCATCAGCGATATTTCACAACTTTGAAAGCAATGCCGTTTCTAATTTTAATCACTGGAAAACCAATACTGAGTAGTTAATTTTCACGATTTTGAGAACAAACATGGTGTTGTCCATATAGCCGGCAAAACAATCTAGCCTATTGAAAATTGAGTCTATCATTTTCAAAAAAATTTTTCTAACAAAAATCAACAATTTGGTTTACTTCCATGGACAACAATATTTTGATACTTCATCTAATGCCTATCTTTTAAGTATGGTTTGATTAAATGGCTAAAAAAAGCTTTCTCGTGAAATCCAAATCATGATGAAGGTGAAACAAATATGGTGGCAATCATATCTTCATGCAAGAAATATTAAAGTAGATCTGAACTTTAGTCAGATTGATATAACATACATGTGTGTGTTGTTTATCATTACGAGTAAGAGTACTATAGGTTACTATTATACATTGGTGGCTACATGTATGTACAGATGAGAATGTCTTTAAAGCTGCATGCCTTCAGGTTAGCCAAATTATTTCAAGAAAATAAAAAATGACAAAAATGATTTTAAGAAAAATAAAAAGATTTATGATCCAAGTACATGTAAAAACTTTATTTTGTGCAATTATGGACTGAAATTGTAGATTTCTCACCATATATTGTGTCACTAACGAAGTAAGGGTTATTTTTGCTTATTTTGACCTCTTTTTGGTAAAATTACGTCAACTGCAATAGCTGTTTGCAATGTGTAAATTATTTTCTTTGTTCACTTCACAATATTTAAAATACATTTTTAAATTTTTCACGAAAATTTGCATAAATCTAGAGGCATGCTGCTTTAACCAAAATTACTAAAAGCTCCATTCAGAAACTATCTATCAACTCTGCCTGAAGGCCTACATGTACTTATGCAAGACATTGACATATTGAAAATATACATGTGTACTTTTATAACATAAATAAAGCCACTAAAATATTAAAGTGTATAAAACTATATATAGTCAGTTGTTAATTTTTTCTTCTTCTTGAAAACATCTTAACTTTACTGTTTATAACTTTTTTAGGAATATTTCACGAGATAATAGCTTTGTACACTCAAGAAAATGTACAAAAAAAAACTCCTGAACATTGTGAAAAGGCAGTTCAAGATTTTTGTACAGCAGTTTAAAATTCTCTTAAATACTTCAAATTATACATGTGATACATCAATACAAGCAAATAAACCATCATTTTTATATTGTCCACTTTTTCATGGTCATTCAAACAAAATATATTATCTAACTACAAGTGATTGATGAATTACCTGAATTTTCAAAATCTTGCTGCCTTTTTACCTAGAGCTTTTATATTATCTTCCTCTTTTGACTTATTTCTCCAGAATACCCAGAGTACTGATACACTTATATAACCAGTTAAATTCAATATTGAAATTGAGCAGCTTGCAATATTAAGCCTTGTAAGACTTCACAATTATTGTGTGAAACTAAAATGTGTTAGAGCACCACTCTAAATGTTGTATTACTGGACAAGGAGCTTAAACAATTAAATGCTAAAATCTTGCCTTTTCATCCACTGAAATGCACTTAAGACTCCCAATGCATCTGTTCACATCGAATTATATATGATGATGAATGAAAATTGTAAAAATCTGTGTAAAAAGTAATATTTTTCTATTTTATGATCATGATTTCTGCAAGAGTCTGGAGGTACTGCTCCAACACTGTAGTGACTAATTGAGTTAAATCCACAATCAGGAAAGCCTGGTTTATTATACTGGTTACATAGTATGATATCATTCCTGCTAGCAGAATTAATAAACATTGTGAGGGTTTGGTGCAAAACTATTGTAAATGCTTACATAAATCAAGGTAGTTACAATAGTTTTGCACCAAGCCCTCAAAATTTGATACTTGCTGGTTGTTCATGTAATTTTGTTGGACTATCAGTAACAGAAATATCAAAATTATATTTCCAACTATCTCTATGGTAACTTTGGAACTACTGATAAAATTTTTTTACAAATGAGATTAACTTTCTCCAAGATTATATTAAAAAGAAATTTTTGAAGTCGCCCCTAAAAAGTTACTTAAAAGTTATGAATGCAAGAATCACCATTGAAACAGAAAATTGTTAACAATTAAATGTACATAGTATCATATAACTGATTGCTATTAAATATTATAATGCAATAATTTGTAACAATTACACAATTCAACGAAAAAGGAAGACTGTTTAAGAAGGTTGGATAATGATATTCCTCCCAGACCCTAAATCTACAAGAGGCAATGGTGACTTGCATAATTTTTTAACCCTCAAGCTCATATGATGGAAATTTAAACAAATATCATTCAGCAGTTCAATTGGAATAAAAAAAATAGACAGAAAATATATGACCGCACAAATATCAAGTAAAATTTTTTTGACATTATAAGAGCACTCAGGAATTAAAACAAGACAGTTTCAAAATACACATTTCAATTAGATTTAGATCTGAGATTATATTCCGACTGTGTCCCGGCGTCTCTCCCCCAGAGAATATACAAGCCGAGCATCAGGATAACCAGCGGTAGCATACCTGCATGCATGATTAGTGTTTCCTGATGACTGAATAGATCGTCCTTAAAGTAGGCCACGTTTAAACTGATAAAGTAAAACACCATAGTCTGAAAATACAAAAATATAACAATTCGTAATACTAAGCAATTTTTAGTCTTTATACAGAACTGGTTTGTTTGTTCTTTTGATTGGGTTTTATGTCAGTATAGGTCAAATGACGACGTACCAGCTTAAGGAAGACCTCAGGTGCCTTTCTGTGCATTATTTCAGGCATGAACAGGCACCTGAGTAGAACCACAGACATTCCGTAAGCTAGCTGGATAGCTTCCTCACATGAAAGAATCTAAAGTCCCTGTCAGGATTCCAACCCGTAGCAGTGAGGAGCAAGTGGTTTGAAGTAAACGACCTTAACCACTCGACCACAGACTGGTTCATTAATGTCAACATTTTAAGGCATTTTCTACAATTAAAAAAAATTATTATTTTAATAGTAGTTCATGAAAAAAATCAGATTTAAAATTCAAGTATCTTTAAGACAATTAACTTTGTTGGTGTTAGCAACACATTAAAACTTCAGGGACAGTTTCCTTATTAACAAATTCCTTAATAACTTATATTTTTTTACAGTAAAACATAATATCTCCAAGTTAAAACATCAATATTTCTTACTTCTATGCAACAAATTTTGCAAGAGTTTAAATTACATGGCATTCACAAAATAATACAATAAAGCACTGACAGTAATCACTAATAACCATAAAAAAACAAGTTTTCCACCAGTACCGCACACTCCATTATTTTCAGTGCTTGATTGTCAAACAAGAGCTAAGTAAGACATTTCTAGGTGCAACAAAGGGGAATAATTCAGGAAAGATCCATACTAGAGTTATGGATCATGGTGATCTACAAATATAAACCCTGTGGAAATACTTACAACAAGAGTTGATAGAAGGAGGGAGCTTTTGTCATCATCATATCTGAAGCTGGGTGCATATAAAGCTAAGAACGAGCATCCAAATATCAGAGCACCTGTACACCTTACTGCAAGTGACTCCATGGGAGCCAATTTCTGTAATGTTGGAAATAAATACATGTGAATTATAATTCATTACAACTTTTAAGGCTCAGTACCATGAATTATCATTACAAAGAAAGAGTTCAAGTCCCTGATTGGATTGGTACCCACAGCAGTGAGGGGGAGGTGGTTTGAAGTAAATGACCTAAACAGGGTTCGTACAGACATCCAATGCCAAAATTCAAGGACTTTTTAAGCACTATTTAAGCATGTTTTCCCATTTTTCAAGCACATTTGTTGCACATATACCGACACAATCTTCAACCTATGATGGATAGTTTGTTCACTATTTTTGTTAAATACACATTTTCTAACATTATAGAAGAACAACTAAGGGTGCATCAAGTTTACAGATTAGTTCAAAAACAACTGCAATTTGTCCACTTACTGTTACCTTGAGTAAACATTTCATTGATTTTTGATACTAAATTGGATCTTTTTTTTTTATTTTGTTAAACATTGATTTTTATCAAAACTATGTCATTCTGTGATTCAAACTTTTTCAAGCACATTTTTAGCAAATTTAAGCACTTTTTAAGCACTTTTCAAGAGAGTAATCAAATTCAAGGACTTTTAAGCCTTTTTTTACATTTTAAAGCACTTTTTAAGAAAGAGACTCAAATTGAAGCACTTTTTAAGACTGTACGAACCCTGCTAAAGCACTTGGCCACGGAAGCCAAACATGTTATTATATCATTCAGTTGGTATGGAAAATAAACATGTATTAATTATAATTTGTCTCATCATCAGTTGCTCGACAATAGCTAAACAGTGACAAATTTGTACACAAAGCCTTCGCTGCAAAATCTATTAACACTGAATTTTTTTTAAGACTTATCCACATTTACATTGAATGATTACATTAAGATGAGAAGTAATTACGAATTCATGCAAGATCCTCAATGACAAATGCAAAATATATATCAATAATCAAGTAAAAATAAATTGATCAGTTTATGGATTATAGTATCTACTGAAATTTACAGGAGAGCCAGTGAGGTTTACCTTGAACGGAATGACCCAGGATGGGAAGGTCATGTCACACAGTCCTGCCATAAACATTAAGAGGAACATCATTCTGAACAGCATGCTGAGATTGCCTTTTTGTTCTCTACCTCCAACGCGATACTCTCCACGCCAGAACTGGTACACTGTTGTCATTAGCAACATCCCGTATGCCAACATGTCAAAATACATAGTCTGAAGTAATAATCAACAAATTGTGTCATACTTGTCTTATCGTGATTAAAGACATCCCAATGGCAATTTAACCCATTACTTCATGAGCATTATGTGAACAATGGCTGTTTTCATTGAAAAGTCTCCCGTTACAAGTTCAAATTGCTATAATACTATAAAAATTGCTTCAATACTAATCAAACTTGGCACAAATGTTGACTGAACCATTGCCCTTGCAACAACATGCTCAGACTTAAATTTTCTGTTACCATGTAAACGAGGGGACATCTCAAAATTCAAAATTATTTTTTGTCCAATCACATTGCCGTATTTTTTTTCTGCTTAGTCTAACTTTGGTTAATGTGTACTAACTAAATAAAATTTAATTTATCAGTTGTCTAACCAGTCTAACTATAATCAGTTTAGAGAAATGCTTTTTTCTGGTTGAAAAATAATGTTGATCATTAAATAGTTTAATGAATAATAATATGTTAACAACAAGAGGGCCATGATGGCCCTGAGGTCGCTCACCTGTATATAGGCCCCCCCACCCCCGGGCCAATTTTTACCCAAGGGCTTTTATTTGTTTATTTGAACAGACTTGGTAGACACCCATAAGAAGATGTTTCATGCTAAACATCTAAGTTCTAGCTCATTGGGTTTTTTAAAGAAGATTTTTTAAGTTTTTACTATACACATATAGTTAAAAACAATGACACCCCTGGGGCAGGGCCAGTTTTGACCCCCGGGCTTTTATTTGAACAAATTTTGTAGATATTTACATAAAGATGTTTCATGCTTAATATACAGGCTGTCCAGCACCTTCTGACAAAAAATTAGGGCAAATTTTAGGGCAATTTTTCAGAAATTTTAGGGCTAAAATAAGGAATTTTAGGGGAAGTTAAAGAAATTTTTAGGGCTAAATTTGGGAATTTTTATAACTAAATTAGGGCCTAAAAGATCATGATATGGGCTCAACATTTGCATTTTTGACAAAAAAGGTAACTCACAAATAAAATGCTTTAGTTCATTATAGCAAAGGGTTACCAGTGTTTTTTTAGTCACCGTGAATAAATGGATTCATGGTCAACTTGCATTTTATGCCTTCTCTGAATCGAGTTTGAAAACAAATAAAACATAAAGTAGAATGAAAACATTTTCAAAGTTACAAGTAGTCCTGGAAAAAACCCATATTCCCAATAAGTTAAAGGCTGTTATTTAGCCAATTGTTAAATGGAGGGGAAATTTGCTTTAAATTTATTTTTAGCTTAAATTCAATTTTCAACATTTATTCTTTTTAAGGGTTTGGACATTTTCAACAAAGTCTTGTCTTTCTTAAAAAAACAATTAAAATGGTTTAGACCTTTCAAGGTCATTCCCAGGAATAAATTAAAAAACCTAAATTCAAACGCAGGGTATTTCACCACTTAAGGAATTTGTTCAAGATAAATCCGGGCTCCTTAAATTGTAGAAAATTTCACAACAGTGTCAGTCTATTTAACGATTTTTAAAAAAAAAAAATTCCAGATTTTAATAAATTTACACATAATTGTACAGTAGTACATTGCATTGGTATGACTAATTAATGTTAATGTGTACAAAAGGCCAGCTGATGGCTTTCATAGTATGCTCATTGGGGTACAAAATGGTAAAAGCATCCAATCATTACAGCCAGCTTACCTTACCCACTTATAATATTTCCAAATATGAAAACTTGTCTAGATCTGCCAGCTGGTATCACTTACAAAAGATCTGTTCTACAGTCATCACTTGAAAATAACTTTATTACAAGTTAAGATTATATTAAAAGGACCCTTACATAAAGTTTAATGAAATTTAGTGGTGCATCATTTAAATAGTTGCTTTAAATACACCTAAGGCTGAGGTAAATGGTAAAACTCTGTAGCCAATGAAAAATTTAACTTGCTTGAAATTGTTTTATCTCTGTTTTAAACAAGTGACTATTTGATACAGTCAAAGTTGGATAATTTTCATTGTTCCATTTAAAACTAACAGTTTCTAATTGTTTTTCTGATAACATCTGGCAATTAATCAAGTATGGCAGTTGAAGTTAATACAACATGTCACTTAATGCAATTAACAGTTTGTTATATCAGTTTCCTTAACTGCATCTTTGTTTACTTATTCTAAACTGTAAAATACCTACAACTTTCTGTATTAAATCATGCATGTATTTTAAAACTGTAAAACTTAATGTAACACTATGACAATTAATGGCTTTGTTATTATATTTGTAATCAGTTGTTAAATCTATATAAAACATATTTCACAGAAAAAACTTTTTATTTTCTTTCCCTTAGCCCTTTAAATCTAATGTCGGGGTTAAATTAACCCACATTCCCCCACTGGAAAATGGCCATATTGTTTCGGGAAAGGGTTGTATCGATAAGGCCCCTTGGACGTTTTATTTCACCCAGGTTATAAAAAGTTTTATCCTGCAAGCGGGAAATTTTAAATTAAACGGGTTCCCTTCTATTTGGGGAATTTCGGGAAATGGGGGGCCTATATTACAGAGTGAGACATAAAATCGCACCCTGACTGTCTTAAAATTTTAAATTGTTTTAAAAAATGGTTTTTTTGGGAAAATTTTTAAAACCAATAAAAAAATTTGGAATTTCAGGGGAAAAAAAAGGGATTTTTAGATTCCCCTTTGGGAAATTTTTTATTTTTTTTGGAAATTTTTGCCCAAAATGAAAAAAAATTAGGATTTTTTAGGAATTTTAGGGACGCTGGACAGCCTGAATATATAAACTCTAGCTTTATGGGTTTTTTCAAAGAAGATTTTTAAGTTTTTGCTATACACATATAAGGAAAATCAATGACCCCCCGGGGCGGGGCCAGTTTTGACCCCAGGGCTTTTATTTGTACATACTTGGTAGACACCCATTAGAACATGTGTCATGCTAAATATCTTAGCTCTAGCTCTTTGAGTTCTTAAAAAGAAGATTTTTTAAGTTTTTACTATATGCATATAGGGAAAATCAATGACCCCCTGGGGCGGGGCCAATTTTGACCCCAGGGCTTTTATTTGAACAAACTTGGTAGACACTCATTAGAAGATGTTTCATGCTAAATATCTTAGCTCTAGCTCTTTGGGTTCCTTAAAAGAAGATTTTTTAAGTTTTTACTATATGCATATAGGGAAAATCTATGACCCCCTGGGGCGGGGTCAATTTTGACCCCAGGGCTTTTATTTGAACAAACTTGGTAGACATTCACTAGAAGATGTTTCATGCCAAATATCTAAGCTCTAGCTCTTATGGTTCTTTAAAAGAAGATTTTTTTAAGTTTTTACTATATGCATATAGGGAAAATCAATGACCCCCCGGGGCGGGGCCAATTTTGACCCCAGGGCTTTAATTTGACCAAACTTGGTAGACACTCACTAGAAGATGTTTCATGCTTAATATCTTAGCTCTAGCTCTTTGGGTTCTTTAAAAGAAGATTTTTTTAAGTTTTTACTATATGCATATAGGGAAAATCAATGACACCCTGGGGCGGGGCCAATTTTGACCCCAGGGCTTTTATTTGACCAAACTTGGTAGACATTCACTAGAAGATGTTTCATGCTTAATATCTAATCTCTAGCTCTTACGGTTCTTTAAAAGAAGATTTTTTTAAGTTTTTACTATATGCATATAGGGAAAATCAATGACCCCCTGGGGCGGGGCCAATTTTGACCCCAGGGCTTTTATTTGAACAAACTTGGTAGACATTCTCTAGAAGATGTTTCATGCCAAATATCTAAGCTCTAGCTCTTACGGTTCTTTAAAAGAAGATTTTTTAAGTTTTTACTATATGCATATAGGGAAAATCAATGACCCCCTGGGGCGGGGCCAATTTGACCCCAGGGCTTTTATTTGAACAAACTTGGTAGACACTCACTAGAAGATGTTTCATGCCAAATATCTAAGCTCTAGCTCTTAGGGTTGTTTAAAAGAAGATATTTAAAGATTTTTCTTTCGGTTGCCATGGCAACCAGAGTTCTGCATGGAATTAAATTCTTTGAACAATTTTTAAAGGTGACCACCAAAGGAACATTCCTGTGAAGTTTGGATGAAATTGGCTCAGTGGTTTATGAGGAGATGTCATTTAAAGCAAAAGTTTACGGACGGACGGACGACGGACGGACGCCGTACGAAAAGCGATCACAAAAGCTCACCCTGTCACTTTGTGACAGGTGAGCTAAAAACAATTGGTTGTGTGCGTGCAGCCTGCTTGACCAATTTATTTTTGTTAATAGTATTAAATATACATAGTTGTTTACAATATTCGTGACAAAATATCCATTGAAGTAACATTATTCCCAAATATGAGTGTATCCTGAGTGAACAGGTTAAAGTCAAAATAAGTTTACATTTTGGCAAATTTGTCACATTAAATTCCTTTCAATTTTATAATTTACATCGCATGAACAATAAATAACTCACGAGACCAAAGGAATTTTCTATTAATAACCATGTCGAATTTATCTGTAAATATTCAATTTATAAAAAGAGTGGGGCAGCCTTTTTATATTTCAGGCAGACTTATATTTCAACTGAGATATTTTTTCAAATCAAATGATGGGTCAAGTAACATTATAACACTCAATCTTATAAATATACATTCAATTTAGCTCGACTTGACAATGAAAATATGTAGGGGTGCAACGATACAGCCAAACCCGTATTGCGATATATTGCGATATAGACAGCCTGTATTGCGATACGTATTGTGGTACAGTGTATACTAAAATAATTAAAGAAAACAGTAAAACGTAAGCTATATTTCAACTCTTCTTATTATTCTTTTAGAACACATACATGTATCTATAGAATGAATAAGTACCCTGTGTCCTTGAGGCTTTTTAAATGTTTTTCTTAAGAAATATCAACATACCCCACGCGTTCATTGTACATGTTCGGTATAACAGTTTCAGAAAAGTACGTACGTGACGGTAGGTCGTATCTAGGGTCTAAAACACGAATCATATCCTTAAATACATCATTTGAGACAACACTAAACGGTCGAAGATCATTAACAATGAATTTTCCGACGGCTTGCGTTATGTCCTTATACAGCTGACTTGTAGGCTTGTATTTGAAAGTCTGCCCAAAAGAAACTCATAATTGTCGGCTGCTTTACGGTTGACGCTGTTGCCGCGATCAAACTAGTACCAGACTTGCATGCACCTTGTTGCAGATTGATTTTTTGGTGTCGAGTCAAATGTGTATTTAGATTTGTGGTCCCTCCGCTGTAGCGAATATCCATCTTACATTTTTTACAAACGGCTATGCCGTCCTCAATTTTTCCTGTAGATTTTCTTTTTTTTAAGTTGAATTCCACCAATATTTTACTTTTAGCTTTCTCATTTTCAATTAGTTCAAAATCTTCTTTTTCCATTTTTTTTATTTCAGTTAATCAACAATTTTAATCAGTCCTAACTCAAATTGCGTAACTGTAAACTGTGTGTAATTTAATAAAACGTGATCAAAGCCGCACTCTGAAAATGACGTCACACGATTCTGCTACTCGCGCGGTAAGATCAAAGAGCTTCGTCAGGAAAAGTTCGCGGCGGCGTTTCTTTATACATCACAGGGATCGACTAGTGTCGGCAATCTTTTCATGTTTCATTGATGTTTTGTTTTTGATGTCGTAAATCGTTGCTTACTGATTCAAAATTGAAGTTTCTACATTCATGTTATTTCGGCATAAATATTAAAGAAAAAACCGCAATACAGGGCAGCTGCACCGCGGTACGTATCGACCCGAGACTGTATTGCAATATACCGGTATACCGGTATATCGTTGCACCACTAAAAATATGAGCATAATGTCACTTTAATTCAAAGCAATCATCTGTTATATCATAAAACCAAATATGATATCAACCCAGTGTTGCATCTAGGCCGCACGATTGCGCGAGTTGCGCATTTTTTATGCATATCGCGCATTCTAATGAAGTCAGTGCGCACCAAGTCGCGCATCTGACTATCTTCTTAACTTAATTCAGTCTATCTTCATTGTATCTTGAACGCTTCAGCCATGTTTGTTTTCACTTGTGGTTATGACTAAAATATGTACTAAATCGCGTGTAGCAGTCGACTTAGTCATCTCTCGTGTCGGCAATATTTTATTTATTACTTCTGTTTTTGAGCGGATGATAGCTGTCAAAAATGCCTGAACGTAAAATAAATGAATTTTTTTCGGTTGTCTTATTGTAAGGTAAATGTATGTCCCCCACATTTTTTTAAATCCCCCACATATATACTTTATTATATGTCTTTTATCTATCACAGTTAAATCCATAATCATTTTAGTGCATATATAATAATTATGTTTTAAACGTTTACCTTCTCCGTAAGTTTGCTGTCTTGCTGGAAGTATGTGTATATCAAAAATGTCAATAGCAGCAAACTACTCTGAAAGAATTATAATTATACATGAAAATTTGTAAATTTAGTTTTCCTTTTAAAACACATTATTAAACTGGAAATCTAAAACTGTCAATAAATCTTAAACTGCTAACAAATAATTTGTTTCTTTCATTATCTTAAATTTTTTGTCAAAAGTAAGCATTTCTTATTATTTTAAAAGAATTTTACAAATTGATAGATTAATAAGAAACGCACAGAAATAAATAAAGAATAGATATGGTTTTGTAGACAAGAGACCTATTTGTAAACATAAATGTAATTCTGAAATTTCAAGTAACGGCTTACAATAAGTCTTGACCAAAGATTGACCCCGATCACATTTTCATCTCTTGTCTTTCTTGTCAAGTACCAAAGTGCTCCCACTCCTATGAGGACTGAAGCAAATACCCGGGTAATGTAACACATCATTGCATTTTCACTTCCTGGAAACTAAAAATAAAATATTACGTTAAAATTAACATATAGACTGAGTACAGATAAATTTATCACAATAAATTAAACAAAGTATGAATTAGCTTTTAACCTGTAGCTTGCTAGAATCTACCCAGGTGACAAGTGCTGAGTCCAGGCGGCATGTATCAGCGATTAAGACGGCATATTTGTGCCAATTGATCATGGTCTGAATATTTGCTATTCAGACAGTACATATTTGGAAACTTTCCATACATATGATGATGAATGATCTTGACCATAACTTAAGAATAAGGTTGGCAAAACCATGATTTAAGATTTTTAACTTGTTTGAAAATCTTTAGATTTAATCCCTCACTCTGTTTTCCTTGAATATTTACTGCGTAAAATCTGTGTATTTCAATTCGATTCTGATCAACTTTTTCATACTTGTCCATTTTAAGTGTAAATACTGTTTTCAAATGAAAATTGAAACATGTTGAAAAACATGTTTTATTTGATGAACATAATCAACATTGCAGTTTCCTAATCTGCTGTCATTATCATTAAACCCCCTCTTTTGTGAAATATGATTGAGACTCTTCACCCTCTATTTTTTTATTCTTTGTTTCACATAAATGAAGGTGAATCATGTGAGATGTATGATGGTGATCAAAAATATTTATTGTTTTAGGCTTTTAGCATATTTTTGATTAATACATTTATGTATTATAAATTTTAAACCTAACAAAATAGAAATATTTTTTGTTTTCCAAAATAAGTACACAATTAAAAGTGACAATGATATTATTGAAAAAGCTAATAAATATGATCATTAATGTAATGATTTTTATCTCTCTGTAATGTTATTATAATTTTGAAATTTCAATGAAATTAAATTTTTTATCGATCATTTTAAGGGTTAAATTGTTTTTTGTTTGTTTTGTTTTTCAATAACACTTCAATCCCTTTTACTTTGACATGTACCTTGATAGAGTGTAAGACAAAAGCCCCCCCCCAAAAAGCCCCCCATCTAAAAATTACAAGGTGGACAAAAGCCCCCCCCCCCCCATGAAATTTACACATAGGACAAAAGCCCCCCACCCATCAAAAATACAGGTAGGACAAAAGCCCCCCCCCCCTTCATCAAACAAGGCTTTTTGTTCTACCTGTATTTTTTATGGGGACTTTTGTCATATGTGTAAATTTCATTGGGGGGGGGGGCTTTTGTCCACCTTGTCATTATTGAATTATATACTTATTAAAAATACTGGATGAGCTGGGGGAATGTATTACTGATTTTGGGAAAATGGGGGGTGTTATATCTTGAGGAGGGGTTGAAGTGTCTGGGGGTGTAATGTCTTGTTTCCTCACTGATTTGGGTGAAGAGAAATGCCAGTGGTGTCTTGTTCCCACCTGAATAACCCCAGCAGCTTCTGTGGAGTTCTTCTAATCAGTTCAGAATGGAGATATTCTTCTTTACTGTTTACATTTTGATTAAAATAGACATCATTTCCAGATAAAAAATGAATTGGACTTTACTAACCAACATTCCTGGAAAAAAGAAAAGACCCAACGCATAGGCACCCCATAGCACGGAATCTCCCCAAATCCATGATTTTCTATCTTGTTGAGCGGAATACCCTAAACCTATCACCAATGCCGCAGCACGAATGAAGTCGTATGCATTCGCCATATCTTTAGAATCTTTAACGAAAGGTAAAAATATCAAAAATACGATATTATTGTTGTTGAAATTGGCGGACAGACTGGCATCAAAAATTATTATTTGATTTTAGTAAATAACGGTTTTAAGTTACAAGTTGTAAACCAGTCACGTAAAGCGCCGTCTTTTGGACGCATCTATTTGTAAAGGGGAAGCTACTCGATTTTACAAAATAGTACACTCCCCTGTACTTGACAGGTAAATAACAGTAAACATTCCAGGTATGTGTATATACACGTTTTATTTTTGCTAAGTTAAATTCCGTTTAAGCCCCATTTTTAGGCTTAAATTAAGGGTCATATAATTTAAGGTTCATATACTGATACTGTTTTCAAATGAAAATCGAAACCAGTTGAAACACATGCATTCATGTTTTATTGACATACATGTATAATCAACATTGCACAATTTCCTGATCTGCTGTCATTTATATGAAAAATAATTACTTTGATCTATTTAGAATTAGCAAAATGTCAGTTATTATTATACATGTTATGCATTCATTTTGTTATTGTTTGAACTTATCAGTCATAATTTCCTGATAAGCAAATTCATGAACAGACTTAAAATCAAACCAAGTCTGCAATTTTCATGTAATTTTGTTGTTTTCATTACTTCTGAGCTATAACCACTTTTTCAAATTTCTTATACTTGACACCACATGAATATAATGTACAGTGGTTGTGCCATGTGGCAGCTATAACATATTGCCTCCTACTTCACTTTGAGGGGCGTCCGTGGCCAAGTGGTTAAGGCCGTTGACTTCAAACCACTTGTCCCTCACCACTGTGGGTTCGAATCCCGACAGGGACTTTGGATTCTTTCATGTGAGGAAGCTATCCAGCTAGCTTACGGAACGTCGGTGGTTCTACTCAGGTATCCGTTCATGCCTGAAATAATGCACGGAAGGGCACCTGACGTCTTCCTCCACCACTAAAGCTGCAACGTCGCGATATGACCTATACTGTGTCGATGTGACGTAAAACCCAAAACAAACAAACAAACAAACTTCACTTTGAAAAGCTGTTGAACAGTGCTGTTATATTTTTTCTGGTCCTTTGGGATCATTGATTCCAGCACATAAAGTGTTGAAGATTGAATACCGCTTCACAATATCCCGCACAATATCCATGAACTCACCAGGTGCATGCTGTCATATTACAACAACTCTTTTCTTGATTATTTTTAAGTATGTCCAATATTTACGGTATGTGGTGTTAACTATTGCCCATAAGTGAATATGGTTTTGGAGACAAGTTTTAACTGATACATGTGATATCTAGTGTGATGGTTTTTGTCGATGCAATTTAAAGAACCGTTTTTAAACAGGGAACTGGTCTCCTGCAATGTCCCTTGAAACCAACGTTGGTCAAGTGCCAGCATCTAAGTGTAGTGATTTTTTTTTCAATTTCCAAAACAATCTGCAGCTTCCTGTCAGGGGTAAATTTAGCACAATATATCTCAAAAGGGGGGGGGGGGGAACCAGAAATCAAATTCAAACAATTGAGAAATTGAGAATGGAATTTATCTACACATTTGGTGAAAAATTTCAATTCAATTTAACATGCATGGTACATAGCAGAGGCTATCTATAGGTACAACTTTGCCGTCTTTTAAATTTAGCAACAAGCTGATATAGATCAGCTGTTGTTAAGACATGATTCTGGTGAAGAATTTTAACAGTGGCATTTTTAGGGGAAAATATAGCATTTCTATGGGGAAATATATCTATTTTGGACTAGATGTATCAGCCTTTATTTGGCTATAAAATGTAGGAAAACATCACTGATCTATTTGTGTTTTTTCCGAGTGTGTGGCCGGAATTTTTAAATTTGTTTGTCTTAGTTTTTGCTCTTAACACTAAACATTTATCTAATATTATGTCATTTGAATTACAGTTAATGGGCCATCGTGTTGGAAAAATAGTCTTCAAGGGTTGTATAAGACAATCAGCTGTAAGATCGTCAATAACGTCAAGTGCCAAAGTGAACACAAAAGGTCGTACAGCAAGTCAGCCACCAACATATCTCAGCCAACCACAACAGCAAATTTCATGTGCTAGAAACTTAAGTACAAAACAATTCATAATGAGTTTACATATGAAAGCTAGATGTAAGATTTATCCTCGAGAAAAAGAGGTTTTTCGATGTCCAGTTCCCGATGATAAAGTGCCATGGAGTGTTGATTTTCTAGACTATGAACCTGTAAACTTCACAAGTAAAAGTGTATTATCACAGCCTGTGTGGGCAGACCCTCCAGATCCAAGGTATATTTTTAGTTAATTAATGTTGATCTTAAAGTTAAAATAAGTTTTATGATATATGAAGCATTGTTACTGTCATCATACATCAAACATGAATAACGCTGCTGAGTTCTTTCAATGAAGCGACATCACTGAAATATGAAGTGTTTTATGAAGAACTAGGGAATCGAGAAAATGGGATGGCGTTGCAATGTGGCAATGTCAAACTTTTGCTAGCATCAGTGTTATTGCTGTTCATTTTTGTTTTTGTGACTAATCAGTTTAATATATTTAAGTTTTCTAACCAGTGTTCCAAATGGTACAAGAAGTTAAGAATTGATCGACTGATTTCTTTAGTTATAAGATACAAACACTAATAGTGATATTAACACATTGCAGATTTTATAGCAAAATAATGATTGTGATAAACGTGAACAATCCGTTGAAGTACAGGACATAACTTAAGTTTAAAAGCATTGTAGTGATTATTGTCATGAGGAATGAGATGGTGCTCTGTGACTGTCCTGCTGCTTTTTTCAGTCAGCCCTTCTGTCCCAAGAAAAAACGCCATGATGTTGCACTTCAGTGCACACTGCTGCCCCCTCAATCTTAATATTATGGATTATCCAAGCCTCAAAAGTAAATATTATAATATATAAAATATGTAAACTTTATTTTATAGTGAAATTCGGGCATTCAATACAGTGGATACATCATGCAATGTGAACAGAAAAACTTATGAGGGAAAGGGCTATGAGGTTGTTGATGGATATCCGAGGTAAAGAAGGTTTTCTTTTAAAGGAACTCCAATGAGGTCCAAAAGCCTAAAAACATGAAATTGGAATTTCTGACACAGATTAGCTGGGGCACTTGAAAAAGAAATATATGCAGAAATAAATTGAAATTTGTATTTTTGTGCTATTTTTGTATCCCGATTTGAGTGAAAAGTGTTGCAATGCTTTTCAATTTATTTTCCACAGTAAGAATAAGTACTCTTGAAAAACAGAGTGAGCAAATGATGTGAAATTTTACAAACAAGTTATTGGTGTAACCTTCATCAAATAGAATATTTATCTCAAATAATATTTCTAAACCTGTCATGCCAAAAACCTCAGTGGAGTCCCTTTAATGATGGAATTCATTCAGTTATATCAGGAATGTGAATAATTGATTAATTTTATCTCTAAGGAAAAATAGCAAATTTTAAAAATAGGAAGGCAATTCTACATTGAATGAGTCAATAGTGTGAGTTTTTAAAGTTATCTCTGTTTTTAAAACATAACAGGTTTTTATCATTCATTTTGTAGCTTTATGTTTGTTGTTAGATCAGAAAAAAATTATGAAGAAAAAGTTGCTTGAAAGTTGGGAAATCTTATTTTAAATTTAAGATAAAATCTTACATCTTTTGCAGTTTGTTCTCTGTACAATTTTGAACAATATAATTTCATTCTAAATAGGAATTTCAGAGCAACCATAAATTCTAAGACTGTATTGCTCAAAAATAGTTTGCTATTTCAAGATACATGTATTCATTTATGATTTATTTCAAAATGTCATGTTTTGATGTCAAATCAAGTTTTATTTTTCACTCTGTATGAATGTTTGTAGAAATCCTCGAGGTCGCACAGGAGTTACTGGGCGTGGATGTCTTGGACGTTGGGGACCAAATCATGCTGCAGATCCCATTGTAACTAGGTAAATGGTTTCTTTTTTTCTTTCATGAAATATTAGTCTATGTGGTTAGCTGCGTAGTGTCTTAGACATCAAATTCTTGAGTGTCCATTGCAGAAAGGTTGTTAATGCATGGATCAAGAGCAGGGGAATGAGGCATCAAGCTTTCCCCCCCCCCCCCCCTCAACAGGATCCATGCCTTTTGATGACAATATGACAGAAAAAGAATTTTAGTGGTGCACAGCATGGTTACTACTTAACTACCTACATTGTATCTATAAATATTATTTAACATTATATTACATTTTGAAAAAAACATATAAGACCCTCATTGCTTCTTAAATTACAAAAATAACTTTTGTAACAAAGAGTTTCTTTAGTTAATTTTCAATTTGAACTAGCAATGTTCCATTTTTTGATAAAGAATTTAAAGTTATTAAATGAACTTCCTTTGAATTCTGAATAGTTCATTATAAATTTTAATCATTATGAAAACAAATTTTAGGATTAATCAACCATCATCGTACAATTTGGTCAAAGTTTACTTACACTAGAATGAAGCTGAAGCAAATTATTTTGCAGCTAGCCAAAACATTGTTTTTATTGTATTACAGATGGAAGAGGGACGAGAACAATGAAATTGTGATCGGAGGTGACGGGAAACCTGTCCTTCAGTTTGTGTCCGTACAGAGAAGGGACAATGGTGAATGGGCTTTACCAGGGGTAACATTTTCTTTTTGTGTCACATGACTTCTTTTGTTTCCAAAGTTATAGAATCATAAAGCATTTCTCTATATTACACATTATATAAAATTAATGAAACCCTTATACAATAAGAAATATTCTGTTCAGTGTCTTGTTTATAAATGACCATTGCATGATTTTTTCCTGTCTGTAATTATTTGTCATCATGGCTATGAAATATTGCCTTTATGTAAGTATAGGTTATAGGTTATTTACAGAGTTTTAAGAAATTAATTTTCGAGCGAACAAAGTGAAGCGAGAAAATTAGTTTCTTAAAACTCTGTATATAACCTATAATCGACTTACAGTTAGCCCGCCTATTAAAACCGTGTGCACTATGTAAATAGGCGAGGTTCATTAAATCGTCTCATTTAATGTATTTAATACATACAGTTGAGTTACAGCACTGTATGGAAAATACTTCGGCAAAATTTTAAAAAAATGGAGCAATTTCATTCGTAGACAGACTTTGGCGAACTGTAACAACAGCGTAGTGTTAGACATGAACACCTGCCTGCTTCTGTATATGTTTTGGCTGATTTTTCATAATTTCTAGACGTCTAATTAATAAGTCAGAATTAAAGACTTTTTAGAATGTGTATCAAATTATTGATTGACAGAAATAAATCAACAATACATTGATATTGTTTCTATCGATGGCAGCTCTATTTTTATTGAATGTGTTTTAGGGAATGGTTGATCCTGGTGAGAATAGAACGGCGACCTTGATACGTGAGTTTGGGGAGGAAGCTCTCAACTCGTTAGAAAAGACAGATGAAGAAAAACAAAAAATTAAGAGAATGCTCACAGATTTATTTGTTAATAAAGGAGAAGTGGTATATATTAGTATATATTATTAGTTTATTACTGTTGCTTTAGATATTGAAATTGGTATACTGATTCTGAAGTTTCAGACTTTGATTTTGTCATTACTTGCATTATTGCCGGTGAAAGTCGATGTTAGGGCTATCCAATGTAAGGAAAATCCAATGTAAATATTAGTTTCGCTATCCTTTATTGTGTTTACTTGAAAATATTAATGTTCTTGTCTTTTGTTCGGCATTAATTGTTTTTATTTGCATAGTTAACAAAAATACAGTGTTTATTGTTAGTATTTAGTACATTTTCCAATAAATAAATATGGTATATAATATTTAAACCTCTTATGTATGCAAGAAACTGTGAACTGCATGTTTAAACCTTGACACTTGCCGACAGTAACTGAAGCTACCCATGGAACCAGTGCAGACCAAGAACAGCTGTCAGATCTGGCACTTGGTCTTGGTTCAATGATTTTTGACAAAGTTATCTATCAAGAATGTTGGAAAAATTTTGAATTTTCAGTTTCAGCACTCATACTTTTGTGGAAGTGTATCCGTGGCATGATAACACATTTCCAGTTCACAATATGCTCATGGGGTAAAAGGTTAAGATATTTAGCGGGGCAATTGTTAAGATTCATTCACATGTTGTATGAATTTAAATATACTTTTAAGATATATAGAGGATATGTTGACGACCCTCGTAACACTGACAATTCATGGATGGAGACGAAGGCCATTAACTTCCATGATGACGATGGCACTGGGGTGGGAGCTTTCCAGTTACATGCAGGTAATTTACCTTAACACTGCTGATTTCGCGTAATAAATTTGCCCTGCTTTGAATTTGGAACAGTCCATTTAAAGTTGAAAGGATTTTCAATAGCATAATATATATATAAAAGTGGGTTACCAACAGTAGAGAGCTTGGTAAGGTTACACAGATGTGCATGCTGGCCTGGCTCTATACTAATACCAAAGGCTTTTATCTTCAATATCCAGCAGGTCAAGAGTCAATCCAAACAAAGTCTCTGTGTTTTGGCTTGATTATTTAAAGAAAAAGGAGAGCTATTCCACTCATTCAGGCATCATAATTATGTTTGTTAAGTTTTTGTAAGCAAGTGAACAACTAATTTATGCATTTTTGTATCTTAAAAAAATCATTTTTGCAAGGGGTTTATAACCTAAACTGTTTAAGAAATTAAGATATCTGTGTATGCAAAGCAATTTTTAATTTTAAATAGTGTTATGCTCTTAATTTATATTGCAAATCCTTTTCTCTTGATTTGAATCTATTCAAATTTTCAATGTTTGTAAAAATACTTTTCCTTCATCTGTTGATAATGAGACTTTTAACATTTAATTTAAAAGAATGATTGCCATTGTCAATCAACAAGATATTGGTGTATGTTTTGAAGGTCAAAGGTGAAGGTCATATTGGTGAAGGTCATACTAAATTTTATGTCTTCTCTTGTTTTAACAGGTGATGACGCCCAAGCAGTTCAATGGAAGGACATAGATAGTGGTCTAGAACTTTACGCAAGCCATAAAGATTTCATCAAAGAAACGGTCAAACGAAGAAATGCCCACTGGGATAGCAGTCCGGTTTAACAAAAAATATAAGCTTTACATTTATTGAATTCCATTTTTAGAAATCAGACCATGTGACCCCACCTTACAGTTTATTTTGATCTGGTGGCAGTACTCTAAGAGTTTTCCATATCGTTATATTGTTGTGAAACTTGTCATAGTCTGCAATAACAAATCAAGTTCGCACATAGATATTAAAATTGTTATTATGATTATTATTATTTTATATATATTATAGAACATTTTTTTATGAAAATAGAGTTTTATTATACATATATATTCATGTTTAGATTTCAAACCTACTCAAAAGCTGTTTTACTTCACATGACTGTAAAAAAATCAAAAATTTATACATTGTACTTCCAGAATGATATTGATTTAATGGTTGAAATAAAGTGATGTGGCATTATTGTTTTTTATGCTAGAATAGAAATATAACAGGATTAGGTGAATAAAAGTTTCAAATTTTGAACTAAAAACGCAAGCACTAAAAACTGGTTTTGTAAGAAAGTTTGATAATGATCATTTTTTAGTAAAACATTATTAATACAACATTGTACTGTCCATGAGTAATGATTAATGTTTTTTTTCTCTCTGAGTCTGAGTGACTGATAATCTATTGAAGTAATCACTATAAATGATACAGTTTATCATATATTTATTTATATATATCAACATTACAGTGCTATGGCCTTTAGTAAAATTTTCATTGTATCACCATTTAAAAGTTGTATGTTTGCTAAGTCTGATACATTTAAGTACATTTTTTGGTGCATTGGTACTAGATAATTTGTACATAGGTGGAATTTTAATATTTTTCTGTCAGACATTTATAGATTTACACACTTGACTTGAAGTTTTAATATCAACACTACCACTCTACCAGTGATAAAAGACAGAAACATTTACACTTCAGTATAGCTCAGTATAGCGTTTTTAATTGTCATGTACATGTGTTTTCGTTTGGCTGAGTCTTGTCAGCTTAAAAAACATTTTAGCAAAAAAGTAATCAAGAAATGCTGAGTTCATTTATTTATCCATGGTTACACAATCTGCAATAATCTGGGGGTTTTTGTACATTAAATAGTGTGAATACACCAGTATGTTGTACAATGTTGGTAAAAGCACCATTAATATACTGTAACCCAACGAATATTCGCGACCAATTAATATTCGCTTTATTCGCGGATGGCCACGAAGCGCGAATATTTGTTTGCGCGAATAAGTCCGCATGATTTCGCGAATAAAGTTGGAGAGAAATTATTATTTTAGACATTGTTCATGCAAAGCTACTTGACCGGATATATTCGAATTTCACGGGCACCTGTTAGGAAGTAATGAATTGTTATGAATATTGCCATAAAGCAATAAAAACACAAACTAAGTAAACTACTACTATTTTATAAATATCAAAAGAACTCTATGTCAATATAGCAATCACTATTTCATTTACATTTAAAGTCATAATGAATTGATACAGTGTTCGAATATTTATAAAGAACGTATAATTCACTCATTTTGGACATAAGTCAATCAACACACTAAATAGATTAACTTTATAAAAACAGCTAAACATGTTACAAACATAATCATCATTATGACACGCGCTACTGAGCAATTATCGTCTAGTTTGTGTTTTTCACACGTCTGAAGGGAAGAGACGAAAGAAACTATTAGTCGAGAAAAACAAAGTATAATAGTGTGATACCCACCCTTTTAACGACATGTTTAGTAATGAAGATGAACGATGCTTACATGTACACATATAAATAAAAAATATAGAGAAAATGTTTTTCTGAATTGTGATCACAATTCACTTACCAATACAATATATAAGGCTAGCGTATTGTTAATCCCATTTTAGACACTAATAATGACCTCAATTATTGAAGATTAATAGTCGGCTAATGGATTTTACGGCCCCATCGGACTTTCCAAACCGCGAATTTTTTTTTTTGGAAATCAAGAAAACGCGGAAATTAATATTCGCGAATATGTCCGACCTCGGCAAAACGCAAAAATTTGTATTCGCGAATATAAATTGGGTTACAGTAAATGTTGTACTTTCACCAGGTGAATTTACATAGGAAAATTCATACTTGTGTTATTGTAACATTTTTCACAAGGAAAAATACTTTCTGTTTTTGTAACAGAATTTTGACAAAGAAAAATACCTTGTGTTTTTGTAACAGAATTTTGACAAAGAAAAATACCTTGTGTTTTTGTAACAGAATTTTGACAAAGAAAAATACCTTGTGTTTTTGAAGAATACCTTGTGTTTTTGTAACATAGAATTTGCTTAGAACAATACAATGTGGTCTTGTAACATAGAGTTTACAAAGTACAATATATGTGTTTAAACAGAGAATTTTTAATGTGCACTTGTAACATAAATTTTACTGTGTGTAAAGCACGTGAAAACATTGGATGTGTCCGTGGATACTCTAGAATTTGATTGATGAAGCTCTGTAGACAAACACACTCAAAAAATATTTTTATATTTTTTTGAAACAGGTTAATATATAGATATTCATTGTAAAGTTATATAATTAAAAAACAATCACTTAGTAACATTTTTATTATGTATTTGGACAATATTCTTTAGTACATTATATTCCTATAATTATTATGTAGTGGCTTTCCTTTAGGTCTTAATTAAGTTCTTTTGCACTGCATGTGTTTAGGTTTAATTTGTTTTCATTTTTCAACAAGAACAATCAAATTTTCAACCTTGCAACACAATCATGCTTTTCAGGTCATAGAGGAAAAAAGCAATTTTATATCCTGAATGTGGTTTATATAAAACATTAATCCTGCTTGCTGCATGAAAGACAATTGATTAACCCCTGTTTTCCTTAATAACATTATAGATAGTTACATTTGCGTCTGTGTTAAAGGGACTCAGTTACATTTGCATCTGTGTTAAAGGGACTCCACTCTGAATTTTTTTTGTCAAAACTTGTATTCTATAAGATGTAGGTTTGCACTAATAACTTGTTTGCAAAATTTCAGATCATTCCCTCACTCTGTTTTCTTAGAATAGTTTTTTTATTGTGCAAAATGACCAAAAAATGGTCAAAAATGAAAAAGCGTTTCAGTGCTTTTCACTCTATCTGGGCTTAAAATCATGTAAAGTGAGAATATTTCTTAATTACCAGTAAGAATGCCAATTTTTATGATCTTAGTTTTTCTGACATCAGTGGAGTTCCTTTAAGAAAAAATGTACATAATATATGATATACTTGTAGAACAAAAGAAACATTTTTGTTATTTGTAAAATGTTTGGTTTTTCTGATACATTGCAATTTTTATGTCACATATGATATACAAGTACATATATGATGAAAGAAAAACAGACAGGGTTTACTTGAGAAAAAAAATCTCTAACAACCATGATATTTTTTATATACATGTATATACATGTATAATTTGTACATGTATGATTTTAGATCTTGACTTTTATCATGATCTATTACCAACAGAGATTATTTATGTGCTAGGAATAGAGCAGAGTGTCACTAATTTAGCATTATTTGCTTTGCCAGAAATGTTTCCTGAATACCTAACTCTGCCCATGTGTGTACATGCACCTTAATACAGAATTTTGAGCGGCTCAATCCATGTTAATAACAATAATTTGTTCGGGTTTTTTAAATCTGGGATTTCAAAATTGATAGAAATCTGTTATGCCTTATTTAGCTGTCTTTGTTTTTATTGGGTGAAATGAACTAGCTTCAAGTTGAAATTTGAATAGTTTGTACCTAAGAGCAGATTTTTTAATGGCTGGAACTGGGAAGTACATTAGAAATATTGTTTTCAAGATTGAGACAGTAGTAAAATTTAATATTACCCAAAATGCTGAAATAAAAAAATAATTCTATGATATAATTTAACTGGACAAGCAACTGGAGATTATCTTTTCATCCAAATCACAAAAGAATTATAATTATGAGCCGCGCCATGACAAAACCAACATAATGGGTTTGCCCAGACCAGACTGCCCAGATTTTTTAAATTACAGAACTAATCTTTTTAAAAACTTTTTAGAGCTTGTGTGATAATATGTTGTATACCTGACTAAAAATAGAAAGAATCATATGCCATTTTCATCATTTAATTGCTGCTGATCTAGAATTATCATTTTAATCATCTAGTAACATAATATTCTATCTGCATTTAAAGGCACATTAAGCCTAAGAAATCTTCTTTTTTTTTCAATTCTTTGGAAAGGAATAATGAATTGTGTCTAGTAACGTTTTAACAATGAATTAAGAGCATATAAAATGCTTAATATTTATTAAGGACAGTAGCACTGCATGTTTAATGTTGTGCCCTAAAGACAGCAAAATGTAAACAAAGTAGTATTTTGACTTCCATACAAAATACTTATTCATTATATTAAATTGTACTGATTGCCAATAGAGCAGAAGTTCTTCTTCTTCTTCTAGTATAGTGAAGGGATCACTGCTGCTGCATTTTCTCAATTTGATAGAGTTAAATGGTAATGAATATTATTTTGAAACTGTAATAAGATTTCAAAAAAAAGATTTTGGGAAATAAAATTGTAAGCATTTCTGAGACATAATGGGCCTTTAAATGAAGGATGTAAATGGAATAATATTGTACTTGTACAAATTGCGTCTTTTCATTTATTGTATTCGATATTGGTGATAAAGATCATTAGAAAAGTTTATTTTATTAGTGCCAAATGCTTACCTTTCATCGCACGTTTTCATTTATAAATTGCTTGTTTATAATCTTTTGTATTCTATTTCATTTTTGTATGTTTTTAAGGGTTTTTTGTTTGTTTTTTTTTTCTAAAATGTAATTTTGTTTGATAAGGGGAAAGATATATATACATTGTATTTTGATTAGGTTTAAGGACACCAAACAATTAAGTTGGGTCTTTGATGGTTGAAGATCACTGAAAATAAGATGGGTCTTAAATAAGTTTTCAGTATACTGAAAATGGATGTTTGATAACGTTGAAGAACACCTAAAATAAGTGGGTCTTTGATTAGGTGTAAATAAGATAGCTTTTTGATTAGGTTGAATAGCTCAAGAACATAAAACCTTATTGGTATGTTTAAGGATGTGAACTAGATTAATTCAAGTAGCTAAAAGTTTTCTGCACAATCAAGCTTAAATACTAGTAATTAAAATTAAATGAACTGGGTTCATACTCCCAACTACTAGAGCAAAATGGTGTCAGAGAAACTCAAACCTGTTGGAGCTAGGGAAGTATATAACTGTAAACAATTCTGACTCGATATAATTTTATTTTTCAATCATAGTTTTTCAGATTGTTAAAAACCTTTCAAGCCAAAATATATTAATAAAAGAACAAATGAGAATAATGGTCTCTTTTCATGTGACGTCTCTCATTTCATATAGCCTTGCCAACTCAATGTTGTAAACACAGGTACTTTGTTGTTGTTGTAAAAATTGTCAGGAAATATGTTGTAAATATAATATGTAATTTATATATAGTGCTAAAACTTATTTATTTTTACTTTTATTAAGCTTCCCAAGACATTCAAGATAAAAAGAGCAAAAATATTTCCTTGAATGATGGCTTAGTATTGGATGTACTTGTTTCTCATTAAAGAGGTTATATTGTCACCTTAGTGCAATAACTGGTTAACTCCTATTGAATTTAGAAGGATTTAACTCATTACTGCACTTAGGTCACGATATGTCAGAGCCATACACAGGTCACTACTAACATTTCTTGTTACTGATAAGATCGGAAGTCGTCTGGAATGTGAGAAGCTGCAAGAACTTGTTCACAATTAAGCTTGAATTAATTAGTTATGTGTCCGAGTGGTTATGGTCACTGACTTCCAAGTCATTTTCTCCCCACTTCAGTCTGTTAATTTTGATTCCCCATCAGGGACTTCGAATTCTTCCATGTGAGGAAGCTATCAAGCTAAAATGCCAGTAATCAATGGCTTAAAGGGCCCCAAATGTCTTCCTTTACCAGTAGGAGCTGAAAAATCACCATAATTTTGACCTTATTACAGTGTTGACTTAAAGCCTACTTAGGAAATAAACTTATACTCAAGTTCAGTGTTTCTATATATGTTATTTTCTTTTTTTCTTTATGAATATACTGTACTTGGATATTATTTGCACAAGGCAATCACTTACATCTGATGTACATGTACTTTAAAATGATATTATCTGCCTTTTTGCAAGACATTTTTGTAAGACCAAGTCTCTGGTTAGAGGTACTTGCTTTTCTGTGGATGATTTACAATGAATGTAACATGCAAATTAATAATTTCTTCCTTCTCAGTTTAAAATGATGTACAGTGTATGTTCAGATAGCGGTTCTCATTGGCGAGTACAGTAAAACTCAAATTTTCCTGTCAGTAAATGATAGGGGAACTGTTAAACTGGCAATTAAACTAATCAGAAACAGGGAATTGTAATCTATCAAATAAAGTTTATATGAACATTTATATTTGTTTAATATATCAGATGTAGCTTATGACTTATTTCTTATTAATTGTTATTAATGTAGTTTTTGTATTACTGTCTAAGAATTTTATTACACCAATTAGTTACGAAGATATTTTACAGTTTATATAACCCAAGTCACCAGATGCTGGTTATATAGTAAATGATTGATTTAACTTGGACATAATATTATAATCTGTCAAAAAATCTTTACAATGCATTGTACTGCATTGATACTTAATTTGATTGAAAGAAGAATTTATTCCCAACTACAGAAGCAGTTTATGAAGATAATATGTATGTTGATATTGACCAATGGGAGGTGTTTTTAAAGATCAGTACTGTTTTTGTAAAGATATTATTCATGTTATTGGTCTTTGGATGAATGTTAGAAAACTTGATAACGTTTCTGTAGAGTATGATACTTTACAAAGAGAGCCACCTCTGCAGAGGTCACGATGTACACAACATATTCAGAGGCAATAAAATGTTAAAACTATAGATTGCATATAGTATTAGAATGTCTATATTTGTGTTAAAAGTCCAAATTAATATTGTCCAATTTTATAGTTATTGTAAGTCTTAGATATTAAATTTGATTGAAAATGAAATGGTGTTTTTATTGCATTGTTTTAGCCCACCCATATAGTTTGTGGGAAACTTCTGAAACAATTTTGTCCTATGCCATTCTGACCTAAGTATGATTTTCAAAATTCTCAATATTGCAGTTGTTGAGACTTCTTTTATTCCAAATATTTTCAGGAAATTAAACTTTCCAGTTTGGATAGATCTGATTATTTCTAGAAGGGTGAAAAAGCAAATTTGTTGACTGTCAGACAAAAATTACGTGATTACAGATTCTTAATTTATTATACAGGTACCTCAGGGTATGAGGAGTAAACATGATTTGACAACTTTACTTATTAGAACAAAAAGCAAGGTATCAGTGCCCGAGTGGTTATGGTCATTTGCTTCAAGCCCCTTCCCTCTCACCTATGTATGTTTGAGCCACACCTGCATCTTCCAATATTTCATGTGAAATCTATTGAAAGCTATACATGTAGCTTATAGAACATCCGTGGTTCTACACAGGTGCCCTCTTGTGCCTGAAATAATGCACAAAGGGGCATGATAGCCTGAGGTCTTCCTCCACCAGTGAAGCTGAAAAGTCGCCATATGACCTATACTGTGTTGGTGCGACATAAAGCCCAACCAAAACTCATAAAGCCTTTAAATTGAGCAATTTTAAGATAGAAAACTCTGTATTTTATTTTGAGTTATATTCTGCATAATTTATGATATATATGTATAAAATTATGACAATATTGCCATAGTCCAGATATTTACAAATACAACTAATAAGCACTATGTTTAAAACGTAATCAGTGAGTCGTTCAAAATAACATAAGTAATTCCATTCAACAGAACGCCAGATATTAAAACTCATTGAAGAGATGCAAGTTGAGGTGTTTGAGGGGTTTTTCCGGATGATTTCCTGTCAGTAGCTAAGCTGTAATCTGGGTCTGTTGAAACTTGAACTGAATCAAAAAGTAAGGGCGTAGCATTTTTCTTCCATCCAACGGCACATTCGATCATGCGCATCAACTTCCGACATAATTCGATTTTCTCTGCCTGTTCCTACAAGAAGAAATGTAGATTATTCAGGGGACAAAACTGTTGCAATTTCATAAACGAGTCTTAAAAATTACAAAAGTTGGGAGGATTTCATCTCACCAGCTGAACTTTTAAACACATTTTATGAAAAGTATTAAAATTAAGGTTATCATCCAGGAAAAAAAGCAGATGTTCTGAATTATTTTGTAGTATGTCGTCCAACTAATTTGAAATTAACATTACATTGATTGCTTTCAATAAACTCAATTTTTGTATGGTTTTATATCATAAATATAAGGATCAAATGAAGATTTATCAATATTGTAAGTTCCAAAAAGCATTATTTGTAAAGATATTACCAAATTTACATTTCATGTTAATCAAGGGAGGTAATTAGAAATTTATTTTCTATAAAGTGTAAGTCAAATTTTTCAATAAGAAATGAATGAATATATTTTAATGATTACATACAATGTTTGTTTGTTTGTTTCATTTTACACCTTTTCCCAACAGTATTTCAGTCATATAGGCGGGTAGTTTTCTAACCATCGTTCCTGGAGAGTAACACCAGTACTAAACTACCTTCCTCTGCGCTAAACTACCAAAGCATCTTCCGGGAATCGAACCCATGCAAGAGAGGCAACTGGATTAGAAGTCATCAACTCTAACCACTCGACCACAGAGGCAATACATATAATATGGACAAATATTTGCAGTACATATTTTACATATTCTTCGATGTTTAAAAATTGTTTTAGAAGCATAATTATATACATATATAAAATTTCACTTAAGTGTGGTAACAACCTTGATTACAACATACAGGATCTTTAAATTTACACTGACTATAGAAGATAAAGTTTACCTCAGTATCACAGAACAACACCTGTATGTCACATTTGGTAGCTAAATTTTTCAGCTGAGTTCTCTCAACCCCCTCGTCTGTACACTGCCCTGTAGTGAAATATAAACCGATATCGTTCATCACATTAATAAAATTTGTTTATCACTATAATATAATTTCCCTTGATACTAAATATATTGAGTCCAAATAAGAATATATATTATTCTAACTTTGAGTGCATTATTGACTGATATCGCACAATTTACTATTTCGATGCTTCTACATCTTTATTTAGATTCACACAATTTATTATGTATACAAAAATAAATCGGTTTCCTACGAAATAAATTAAAAACAGTACAAACTTGTGGATTCTTAAAAATGTGACTAGCAGGAATACATTCTGTATACATGTAAATGTATACCAAGAAACCCAGTTTCGAGTCCCAGTCAAGCTGTGTTTTTAGTAACACACTATGATATGTTATACCATGGACTGTTTCCTGTATCGGTTTCACTTACAAGCAAATCAAAATATTCAAACTTAACAAATTAGTCTACCATGAATGTTGAAACTTCCTCTCTCTAACTAAAAGCATGTTTTATACATTGTACAATTGATTTATATTTTATAGAAAAAAAACATTTCCATACCTTTTGTGTTAGCAACAATTATCGATTTCCCGATGAAGTATGAAACATCCAGCTGCCCCATGCTTGTTACCAACCCCTTCATACTGGAATGTAAAACTTGAAATAAGAACAGGTTGCAATAAAATTAAATTTACTTCCTGAAATAATACAAACACTTTACAGCTCTATACAATTGTATTTGCTGGTCTATAGTTTACAAAAATATTGTTTATATGTCAATAAATAATAATCCCAAAATGCCTATCTGAAAGAAATGCCTTTGTTATAGGAAATAGAGAAAAATGAACATGTACAAAACTCATTGCTTTAAATAAAGAACAACATTCTGTCATTTCTTTGTTTTAACTCTTTTTGAAAATCAACCATAATACTATAATTACCATTTATAAACTTTATAAAAATATTTCCTTACATATTGCTTTAGCAATATGGCGAGTATTTATTAAGTCAAAATCTACAGTACTGTATACATGTATATAAGGCTTGGAATATTATTTGTTTCTCCTGATTATTACTTTTTCTGTTATCGCACCTTATTTTCTGTTGGCTTTTTTTAATTAAAGTATTAAATAATTAACAATCAAGATATCTTATTACAAAAACATTTGAAGCAAAGATATTATTTATTATCAATAGAGCAAAAGCCTTACATGGTTTTAAAAGACACAATTTTAGGTTTGCATAAAATTGGCTAATTTTCCGATGTTATAACGGGACCAAAACCATTTGTTAACATAGTCACGCGCTCTTGTTATAGCCCGGTTTTACCTATGCACAATACATAAAGGGCCAAGTAAAGAAACAAAATATTGAAATTATTGATTCGAGGGCCTCAATCGCATAAGGACGAGCAGAATTCAAGTAACTAGATCTATGCCGGATATACGGCATATAGACATCGCCGTTAATCTTGGTTGTCGCCCTTTCTAAGAAACGGACAGTTGTCAATGTAAACAAATAAATATCATTCAGTTTAACCCTCAAATCAACTTACAAAAAAAGATAACACAAAATGAATATGAGAAAATATTTTTTTATTGATGTTTATATCGATAAATGCACTTATATTTCTTTAAGAGAATAATGTTTAGTGCCTGATATTCTTTTATAAAATTGTGAGCTTGAAAAAAACGATTCTGAGGTCACTGATCTTTTTTCTACCATAATCTGAAATCAAGAATTTCTGAGGGTCATGTTTTGTCTTGGCAGAGTAATTTAATGTTTATTTCTTGAGTTAATAAATCTCCAATGTTAAGCTTTGTTAAATCAATTAAAATTCGAATTTTCGAACGGTTCTGAGCATTTGAATTTCCCAAGTAGTTGGCCCCGGAAAAATAAAACACATATGTAAAACATGAAGAATTGAATAAATACCGTCCAAGCAAAAAGATTTAGTGTATGTGTTTTGTATTTAATATACACCATGAATCTTTTTAAATTTGTATGCTATAATAGCGTCAACGCACATTTATTTCGTGTTATAAAGTATGCAGAGTCCCTTGGAACTGTTGGAGCCCTCACCCTACCGGGCTCAGGCACCAACCATTCCTCAGGACTCTGCAGACGTTATAACACGAAAAAACCGTTAACCCTATAAAATAACTTCGGTATGTATACATCACTAACTGATCAAATGTCATATCGCTGAAATCAAATAATTTTAAGCCATGAGCATAAACACATAGCGTTCTCTCAAAGTATACTTTAGTTTTAATAGTGAAATTACATGTAACTGTTTCTTTCAAAGTTAATGTAGAAAATAAGTGGTTCTTATAATTGAAAGTGAATATAGAAATTAAGTGGATCATATTGAGTTTAAAAGGAAATTAAGTGGTTCTTATAAAATTAATATAGATTATAAAGTTAATAAAGAAGTTACGTTGATCTTATACAGTAAAGAAGGAAATAAGTGGTTCATATAAAGTGCAAACTTGTGCCTGATAAAACACACAGCACGGCACTTACTCCTTGCTTGATAGGTGACAAAAGTATCAGAATTTTTAATTTTAAATCTCAATTGAAGCACATATTTATAATCAATTGACTTCTTATAATTAGTTAATCATAGATAAATTACCTGTCTTTATTAGCCATGTGCATTGTAAAACATACAAAGTGAATATTTTCATCTGATAAGTCTCTGTTGTCTGGTAACGGAAGACAGGTGCAGGTCAATCTGTAGTTGATAATATAAAACAAAAATAATTATATGTAATAATAACTCATATTAAATTTTAATATGAGTTATTATTACATATAATTATTTTTGTTTAATAAATACACAGCACTACTAGGAATATACATGTATAAACATTAATGACAAATTTCTGACAAATATTTTCTTGATGTCTCTTTGTCAAGTTAACGTCATGCACCAGTGAATTACAATCCTTAGACACCTAAGTGACCTTAAACTTAGGGAAATGAGAAGTCTCTGACTTAGTATTATTAAACCCCTTTTAAAACATAATTAACCGGTATCAAATGCCTATAGTGGTGCGATACAGACAGAAGATTAATACTAATGCCTCATTTACTGGAAAAGAGTCAACTCGGCCCTATACCAACTCGGCACGGGTCAACTCGGCACGGGTCAACTCGGCCCACTTTACAAAAATATATATCATATTAACTTTGCTTTGCATGTTGTTAAGGTAAATGAATGATTAGAAATATCTTATTATAAAATAATTACACTTTGTACTTCTGCCGAAATAAAGTATATTTAGAAAAAAAGTTATTTATTTGTCTTTCAGATTCGATAAAATTAATATAGATCTAATAAAAATGTGTTTTCTTAGATGCATTTTGTTTGTAAAGTAATATTCAAAAAAGTATTTAAAAAAGTTATTACATCAATTAAAAGCTGGTGATCTTAGCTTCCTCTCAGTGTATATTTCAATACATTGTTTGACACTGAAGGTATTTAAATTTACGGTTAAACCTACCACGAGTCAGAAATACAGTGAGAAACGCAATCGGTTATCTTTACTCGCAATTCTACTGATAAGAAAAGCCTGTCTGCTGCTAGTTCGGAAACTGTCAATCCGGGTATTATAAATAATTACAATAATCACAATAAATAGTGATAACACAAACCTAAATATTAATAATTGAAAAGTGGGCCGAGTTGACCCGTGCCGAGTTTGAATAGGGCCGAGCTGACTCGGGGGCCGAGTACGTTTTAGGGCCGAGCTGACCCGGATTCTCATTTACTCCCACTATCTGGCAGAAGTAGAGGGCTGGGCATCATTTTACATCTTACTACTTCAGGGTTATTCATAAATTACATATAACACAAATATAACCTACACTTTGAGATTGATTGCTTTTCCCATATCTATCAAACACTTGGAGATTACATGTTTTCCAGTACCCTCTGACCCGACAAGCTGAAATATACAAAAGAATAGAATGAAATAGATCCACGATATTTAGTCTTGTACTAAACTTGTAGTATGCCTTTCCAGTTTGAAGCCCTTAAATGGTTTTTGAAAGGTTAACAATATGGTGTTTCGTTGAACTGCTCTTAGTATCACGGTAGGATATTACTGGAACATACGATACGTTATAGTACATCCCAGGATATTAAGATAAAAATAAAGCAAGAAGACTTTTAAAATTAAGCATGAAGACTTTTAGTTCACGATCTGCAAACGGATCAATCAATAAGATTAAACTACCTTCATTAAAAAGTCAATGCATTAACCGTATTCAGTACTTACCAAAACATTTGTCTGTGATGAGTTCATCTTTACAGTAGCTGTCAAAATCTCCCGCCATAAAATATTGGTAAATATAATTACGAATACATGTATTGTAGATTCCCGTCATCACTGATTTTTTTCTTCTTTAATATTTAGATATATCATATGGTGTTAAATGATATATCACTTTTATCATTGAAATCTGTTAAAATATTGTTGAGTTTTCATCGTTTTTTCATCCTATATTTCTTTAATGTACACACTCACATTTGGATGGATGTATCGAAGTACGAAACTATCCACTACTTTGTTTACATTCCTGAGCAAAATGGCGGACGAAGCGCTTTCGAGAGCAGGTTTACACTTTGATGAGTTGAATAAGATAAGAGTTCTTGAACCAGAAGTACAGTCGCAGACAACTGAACTTAAAGAAGAATGTAAAGACTTTGTTGACAGTACGTGAGACGGTTTTTACTTATAAACTTTTATGTAAATACACTTCTTCTGTCGGAATTTCTTACCCCACCCACTAAAATTTATAACACAGATGCAGGTTTCGAAATTTTCAGGACGAAAAGTCTTTCCTGGGCAGACTGATTGTAAAAACGACAATGATAATTAATAAAAGGTGAAGGGACATAGTATTTCTGATAATTGATAGGAGTCTAAACACTTCCAAGGGTAATGTAAAAATTCGCCACAGTAACAATTCAATCATAAAATGAAATAAAAAAGGTTTTCATCAACAATTTGAAGATAGGTGTGAAACGGTTTGTATTTGATCACGGAGTGAATTGTTATTTACTTGTGGCAAATGGTTATTTCACTATGGTGAATCGTTATTGTTGTGAATCGTTACTAATTCAGCACTTGCAGTGACTGTGCACAAAAGCTGCCATGATTTTCCTGGGATTATTTTCCCAACCAGAAACCTTATTTATATCCCCTCTATACATAAAACCACAAAATATACTTTTACAATGAATGCCAATATACATGTAATAACAATTCCAAAGACATCCATAAACCTTTATCGTCCTTGTTTACATTGCGTACCAGCAACTGTCAAACCATTTCAACATGAGATTATGTTGTTTCTATGAGTATGTTCAGTTTTTATTTGTATATGGTCATGGAAATTAATATAATAAACAGTTCCATTTTCTTCTCAAGCAAACTGTTATTTTATTTTCAACTGTCAATGACAGGTATATATACATGTGTTTTATTATGACAATAATTTTATAAATGGCTGGCCAAATAAATCAAAACTAACACAGTTTCTAGACATCTGATTGGTTGGTTCACAGTATTAAAGTATACAGGGTAAAATTTAATATTGCTGATTAAATGTTATAGTTATAGTAAACAGTTTGTTACATTTATTTATTGTTTTAAAAGGTATATTTTCTAGCAGTAACTTTTAAAGATTACTTAGGACTGATTATGATGGATGACCATGTCATTATGTACAGTGTTTTATGAAATTTAAATTTGTGGTAATATATATAACCAGGATAAAATCCCTTCTCAAAACCAGCTACTACTCAAACTCCTTCTGATAAACATCACACTTTGCCCGTAAATTGGAATGCTCTGCCTCAAGCTGTCTACCCTGGATCAGTCTAGTTTAGGGGTAACTAAACTGTGCCATGAATTCTTAGCATACTCTGAGTCTGACACACACCTGCATAAAATACTCAAAAGGGTGTGATGTAATATCTATCAAATAATCAGTCCATTAAAAGATAGGGTGTGATTCAGTATCTATCTATCTATCAGTAGATACATAGATAAACTTTAAGACTCTGGAAGTCCCTATCCCTGTCAGTCAAATTTAGTGCTAGTCTCAGAATATTCTCTGATAGGCTGATGGTGATTATACCTATAAGTCATTTTGGCATTTATGTTTCACATTGACTTAGTTTCTTCCTGTTGTAACAATTCAGAATTTCATTTTTAAATAAATTTTCTCCCAACTATTTTCATCCAGTAATAATCAGAAATCACTTGTTGGATTGTAACATGAAGATGTAGATCTAATGATTGGGTCGTGCTTTTGCAGAAATTTACCAATTCAGGATCCTGCATCTATAGACATTAATTTTTACCATTGATATGCCCACATGGATGCCAAATTTGTAACTGTTGCATCAAAGTAGATGCACAAAAATATAATATTGTATTTACTGGTTTCATAAATCTTGCTTAAAATCTTCATGAAAAACCTTGCAGCACTTAAATGTACACATACATGCTATATAATTATGACTATATATATGACATAATAATATTTATGCAAGTACCAATACTTTGGGTTTAGTAAAAATTTAAAAAATTAGACTGCTTGATGGTTGGACCCCTTTAACTAGTGGTTGGACCACTTTTATAACAGAAACTGCACCCTTGGAACTTGAAAGTGATATGTAAATCTGTGCTTTGGCAATGACTGAATCACTTTAAATAATTGGCATTTCTTGATTTTTTTCAGAAATTGGAGATTTTCAGAAAATTGTCGGAACATTTATTGAAGTTGTAGACAATGTTTCAAAAGAAGTTGAAAAAGAAAAAATGAAGGTAAGCATCAAAATGTTGGAAGTATTTGCAGAGTATCCACATTATACATACATGTATAAACTTGATCTTGTGTCCTAATCTAAATATCTTCATATTTCCATATTCTGCCCTTTTTGTGGCAACAGAAATGTATGTACCAAGATTCAGCCAGCTCATCCTTCCTTTTGATCATGGTCTATACTGTTGGATATTTATTCAGTACTTTTTAAAAATTATTTTAAAATTTTCCATCAAAAGGATGAATGGTTTAGTCCACATTGAAAGATAGATAAGTTTATTTAAGAAATTTAGTGATAAAAAAGGTATAGAAGTTACATGTATATAAAAAATAGATTGAAATTAAAGTAATTTACTAAAAGAAATTTTTAGAAAATCTCGTGACTTACTTGGGCCCCAAACTATGGAATAATATCCCTCTCTCCATTCGTAAATCTGAAACTGTTGGAAAATCCCAAGCGTCCTATATCAGTTGGAATCTGTCTTAAGTAACTTGATCTTACATAGATTTAGTGTAAAGTAATGTGTGTTCATGCATTGTACATGTATTTTGAATATGTATTGTGTTTTTAATTATTGATTGTTTTATAAAGTAATATATTATTATATTTTGTGTTTTCATGTGTATATGTATTTTGAAAACTTCACTGTATAACCATGATGTAAATTATGTATATTTTATGTATATTTATGTTTTTGAGGCCCACATGGAAGATTGGGAAACCAAATGTGTAGCCTCAGTAAATAAAGACTTAATTACTTACTTACTTACTTACTAAGATATTCATGTTTAAATTGATCAAAATTTTTGTATGTACATGTTTATGATGTTAGCAACAAATCTCGGACTAAGTATTAAAACAACTTATCTGGAAATTTACTTGGTTATATCATCATAAGAACTGTTTGTACTGTGAAGAAGTCTTTCTCACAACATATACAAGTTTCTTTATCTGTTGCACGATCCTTTTATAATACCTTGACTTGAAATTACTAAGAGTCCTCTAGGGGGAGTTACCCTTGTGGTTTCTAATTGTGACTATTTGTTAATCAAAATTACTAATAGATATGTCACAAACTGCGTGACAACTGTTGCTTGGTATTAAACATAATCATAACTTTTGCAAACTTTTTCAGGCGATTGGCTCAAGGAATTTACTGAAATCTATTGCTAAACAAAGGGAGGCACAACAACAACAACTTCAGGCATTGATAGCTGAGAGAAAAATGCAGCTAGAAAGGTGAGATGAGGATGATGATAATGATGGTGAAACTTTGATGATGATTGTGAAATTATGATGATGATGAAATTAGTATGATGGTGAAATTATGATGATGATGGATGATGATAATCATGCCAAAATAATGATGATGATGTTGATAGTCATGTGGAGCTAAGTTATCACCCATGAAATATTAGATACTATCTATATCTTGCAATAAAGTGTTTAATATTAAAAGTAAATTTCTGTATCAGTTAAGGAAATATTTGGTAGTTACATGTTATATTAAATGTCAAATAAATTTATTTTCTTGTTTACTTGACATTGCAAACTTGAAAAAAATTTAATTGCTATTTCTATGCACCAGTATTATAAGATAGTAGTAACCCAGACATTCAACCCTTATTGCTTGAAAAAAATATGTTACTAAATTGTGTATTTAATTTAAAGTAGTGCAGAATACTGCCCTTGGTTTATACAGAATTTATTTCAGTCCGATTGTGTAGGAAGCTTTAAACCTGCAACTTGACTATTTAAGCCACTAGATGGCGCTGGGGCAGATTTTCATGGTATTTTTGACATGCTTCACATCTAACAGCCCTTTTTTGAAATAGTAAAATAACCAAGAAGTATTTTACCTAAAAACTTTTTGTATAACTTCTTTGCAACATTTGAAATAAAATGGCAGAGAAAATATCACAAAAGATTCACTTAAATGTACTTTGTGGAAAAAAAATCAGTTAACTGTCAAAAATTTGAAAATCCCGGGCGGAGTTAATGGGGTCATGAACTGCAGGTTGTAAACAAATACACGTGGCAGTGTTAACTTTCCAGTAGAAACTTGAAATATTACTCTAGGAAGGGAGCTGCTGATCAGTAATCGTCTGCTATAGTGTTTGTTTACATCAGCTAATTTTAGCACAGGTACAGCGTCCTTTGCATGATTTATCTGATAAACACGCCTACAAAATTCTCCCTACTAGGGCAGGGATTTTTGCGGCTTTAAGCTTAAAGACCACTTTTTTTATACCATCCAGTACTGAGCGATAAGTGTAAAGTGTTTTTTGATCATCTAAAACATATAATTTCTTTCTTGTTTTTCAGATTAAGAATTCAATATGAAAATTTACAGAAAGAAGAAAGTGAACAGAATGAATTTATAGAACAGTTTATTCTGCAGAAATAGTTGTGAACCGTTTTCTATGTTGTCATAAATTATTGTGTTTCACGTCCATTCCGTCCACCATTTCATAGAGGGTTGATTTTATTGTTGATATACCAGTAGATAATTTGTACTGTTTCTTAGAAGAAAATGTGATACATGTGTATAAATAGGATCAATTTCACAAAAAAATTATTTTGTCCAAGTCCTCTTGGCAGTAAATTTTGGCACAAGTTTTGATTTGTATACATATATACATGTCTTGAGGCAGTAATATACTTTAAAGGCATTAATGTATAATTTATCTTTTGATATTTATAGATCTGAGATGTTTAATTTTCTTTAAAAATCATATGAAATTTCATATGATTATAGAACCATACTGAAAATTATTAAGAATGCATTGCATATATGCATTGCATACAGATTTCAAAATACTTAAATAGTGGTGCACTGGAATTGGTTTCAAGCCATACTTCGGATAAAGTATTTCAAAGAATATATGAATGAGCAATCCACTACCTTGCAGGATTAATGGTCTGCCAGATAAAATGTACTAATGGACAGTGCCCCTTTATTAAGGTCTTTATCTTTTGTTGTTTACCTCAAGAAAACTGAAATAATGTATGGATTGTCATCAGAGGTATTCCTCCATGTTTAAAGTTTGAATACCGAATGAATAGAAGTATTTCAAGATGACATAATAACTATCCTATGTATTCTTTTCCTAATTTAAGTGATAGTAAAAAATTGCAATTATGTTGAGGGGTAATAATAGCTTTTTCTGACAATAAAAATATATATTTATACACTTGTGCAAGAAAATTAATTTAAACAGTGATACTTTAAGCCAAGAAAATTATGCAGGAAATTATACAAATTAATTTATTTAGAGACACCTTAAGACTAAGAAATTAAATCACTTGGTACATGTATCTATTTTGTTCTTTTCATTTCTCATTCATTAGCCGTCTTTTGAATATCAATTATCATTTTATTACTTTTTTCATTGTGATAAAATAATGTTGTAAAAACATTGTTACTGGTACATGTATTTAATTAAAATAATTAAAAAAACACACACACATGCTGTTTGTCTTTTATATTGCTGTATTTTCTTCATTGTTCTAAGGTACACCTATGACACTAGTGGTTTGTGTTTCTTGGTTACTTTGGTCATATTATCGTATGGCACTTGGCCATTTCTCTGTACGTCCATTAGTCACATCGATATTTATTTAACAACTTGAGGAATATCAAGTATGCTGTTGTCATACTAGTAGACATTTGCAGCTTATAATGAGGAACAGGGATTGAGGATCGAGGACAAGTTATATGAAGGGATTATCTCAGAATGATCTAACATTTTATAATAAACACGGTTTTTAAATAACGGATAACACCATGCTGGTGTCAACGATAATTTGTGTTTGTATTGCGTGATATTGTCATTGTCCTGAATAATATTATTCCTGTAGCTCTACTTTAGGTGAGATGTTCCATCAATAGCCCTCACCGCCATAATTATGTACTCGCATTTGTTTAATGAGTACATCGTTTAAAATAAAAACATGGAATTAAAGACCGGATCCTGTCTTTCACTGACGATACACTTATACCTTTTTCAAATAATGTTCTGAACAATAGTGTTCATTGCCTCTTGGGATGTTTTATTTAAAGAATAATGTAAGTGTTTAGGGTGTCTCTTATCATAACTCGAATAACTTGTATCTATGTTTGCATTTGAATACATTTCTGCCACTTCAGTGAGAATCATGGTGGGATTATAAGTAAGCAAAATCCTACAGAAATAAATGAACCAGATATTAAGTAAGCATGCTTAAGAGAAACGTTGAAACTACATAAGTATTTACATCATAAATCGGTTACCCCAAATCTGCACCGAATTCTTAATAAATTTTGACATCGTGTAAAAAATAGCTTTCAAACCCTCGGTTAATTGCAAGCAATAAAATTCATCATTGTCCATTTTACTGACGCATTATGCTGATGTACTTTTAATATTTCATATAATTATAATCTTTATCCTCCATCAGGCTTTTAGTAGACAGTCTTATTCGACTGAGGAAGGTTATTTGTTCAAGCCACGTGATACCAAATACATGAAAATGGTACTGGCAGCTCCTGGCTTGGCGCTCAGCATTTTAACAGCAGTGAAAAATGTTATCGAAGGCAAGCAATAGCCCATCTCTGTTTCATGTGGGAAATATGATTGTGCACTGTTAATGAAAAAAATAAAAAAATCTACAAAACAACAATTTTTCTTCAAATTTATATGACAGGCCATGTTTAAACATGAAAAAACGCGATTTAGGGTAATTTCAAGTATTTTCATCATTTTCAGTTAATGAAAAAAATAAAAAAATCTACAAAACAACAATTTTTCTTCAAATTTATATGACAGGCCATGTTTAAACATGAAAAAACGCGATTTAGGGTAATTTCAAGTATTTTCATCATTTTCAGTTAACCCATTACTTCATATACACGCCTTTTAACGCCTTTTTCACCCCCCCCCCTTTTTGTTGTCTCAAATGATGAAAAATTGCCTTATTTAGGCCCCAAACACTTGTTTTTGTTTGAGAAATGCTGTTAAAAAAAGTGACCTCTTTTTCGGCGCGGCCCCCCAACCAAAAGATACATCAGGGGGTTGCCAGAAGGGGGATGTGCCCCCTTCTGTTTTGGGGGTTTGAAGGGGGGCGGAGTCCCCCTCATCGCCAAGAAAATTTTGGACTTGTGAGAGGCTGTAAATGACCCCAGATTGATCATAAGGTAACGTGTAACCAACGCTGAAAAGCATTTGACTCTATCTCAATCCATTGATAAGTTGCAGCACTTTGAAATCAATTTTGATGGAAAAAATCAACGCAAAATAGTGATTTTTGGCAATTTTGAGATGTCCCCTCGTTGCCATGGTAACAGAAAATTTAAGTCTGAGCATGTTGTTGCAAGGACAATGGTCCAGTCAACATTTGTGCCAAGTTTGATTAGTGTTGAAGCAGTTTTTATAGTATTATAGCAATTTGAACTTGTAACGGGAGACTTTTCAATGAAAACAGCCATTTTTCACAAAATGCTCATGAAGCAATGGGTTAAGAGAACCTGTTCAGGTCCTACAATAGACGGACTATCAGTATATTACTAAAAAGTGTTGAAATATCTGGAAAGAAGTGATCCCTCGGGAGAATTAAAAACAGCAAAAGAAATCATGAAAATGCACTCGGTTTGATTGGGTTGTACATGATTGATAATAAAAGTGCAACAACCCTCACGCCCCCTAGCACCGGCTTAAGCGGGACTCAACTCTCAACACTTAAGAATTCTGGACTATTATCCTAAAGGACCAGAAAAATATAGCAACACTATATAAACACTATATAAATATAGCATTAAACACCGATTCAGTAACTCAATCCATTTAAATATTTTCAAATTATATCCAGCGCTTTAGGCTGTACAACGTCTTGAAAGACGTCTTTTGAGTTAAGAATACAAAAAAGGACCCAAAAAACCCAACAGTTAAGTGCAGTCCCTATGGAAAGACCGGGCATCTAAACCAAGTGCAAGCTTTAGCGGCTCACACGCAGCAGTCATTGCTAGGTCAAGCTTCGATAAATCTTAACAGATGTATAAATGAGGCCAACATTGATAGCTGACCAGCAGCGTCGCTCTCGCCTAGTCCCGAGACAACTCAAACGAGGACCAGTCTCACATGAACTGCACAACCGAGGCCGTAGTCAAGACGCCAAGATATCCGTGCTCAAGCTGCAAAACGTTTTGACATCATTAAAGGACGAAAACATTGATGCACGTCAGCGCACTAAACAAAACAACCGTCAACGCAAACGACCATTGGCTGAGCTAATTAGAAAAGTTCCGAATTTATTTAGGGAACTTAGCATTAGTTCGTCTTGCAATCACTCAAATGAAAATTAAGATGTAAAGAAGAAACACAGTAAGATATCCTGGCCTTATTTCAAGTGTTCATAATATGTGTTGAGATGACCCCTCAATATTAACGTAACTGTTCCTCGATAATTGTTCCCGACATTATGTCGCAAATGTCTAGTAGGATGGTCGTGGCCAGTACATGACCCAAATTGATTTTGAGGTCAGTAGGTCAAAAGTCAAGGTCATAGTGACAGTTAAAGTAAAGTACTTTTCAGCTCAATCACTAGAAAAGGAATAAGCCCTAGGTTGATAAACAAGAGGGCCCTTGGGCCCTGGGTCGCTCACCTGAGGCATGTATGTATGCCTGTATTAGAGTTTGCTAAGGCAAACATTCTACATTCAATTGAACTGGGTAAAAGGTGATCTCAGTTTTAAAAACGTTTCCCAAAGCACTGATCAGGTGACTTTAATAGTTTCTGAACCTATTTGACCTATTAGTTTGAAAAAAGCACTAGTTCTTGTTGTCATAATATGTTGACAAATGGTTATGTGTGTTCATGTGGCAAATCAAAATTCAACAAGAGGGTCATGATGGCCCTGAAAACATCTTCTGACTGGAAGTAGGTTATAAGGTGAAGGTTAAAATTTAAACTATAACATTACATATCTTTAAGTCTTAAGAGGGTAAATTTTTTAAGATGAACTGGTAAGTAATGCAATGGCTGTTTTCTGGTCTCGCACCAGAGGTAAATTTTTTAAGATGAACTGGTAAGTAATGCAATGGCTGTTTTCTGGGCTCGCACCGGATTTTATTGTGTGGAGATTTTTTCAGTACAGCAGTAGATAATCTTGTGATCTGACCAGTAAGTTTCTACTGTACCCACAGTGGCATCAATATTTGTTATTATCAAGTCTAATGCTGATAGATTATCAGTTGTAGGTTCAATAAGACGTAATCTACAGTTAAGCTTATCATACAAATACTGCAAAACACCCCTATGATATTTTAAAACATCAATATTAAAATCACCTAGAATAACCAAAGGCTTATGAGGTACCAAATGTGGAAAGAGTTTCTCTGTCAGCACAGTGCGAAAAGCAGAATCTGACATTTTTGGAGATTTATACAATACCACAACTTGCATTTCACTTAATTCTCTTGCAACATTCAGAAGAACAAATTCAAAATTCTGGGAGCTAAAGCTGTCTGTAGATTTTATTAAAACATCATCTTTGACATAAATAAGTAACCCATGCGGAGGTCTTTCAGATGTTGATGTAGTACACTGGTCATTGCGTATTAAATGGTATCCCTGTATCTGATAGGAAGAATCATTATCATTTTCATGTAATCTAGTTTCTGCCAATCCAATAATATCACAAGACAACAATCCCTGGTCATGTTTCACATCAATGAAATGCTTGTTTAATGACCTACAATTGTTAAATGCAATTTTAAAATCCATATTTGAAAATACATGTATAGATTCCAAGGGGACATAACACACTTCTAGAGAAGCATCTTTAAGCAATCTCTCCATTTCTGTTTTAACTTGTTCATCAACTTGTAAAGCCTGCTCATTAAAATTGAGAATTTGAAGCTTTTCTAAAGACCTTACCCTACTTAATGCAACATAATGAAGGTGAGGAACTTTTCGTGTTTTTCTTTGGGATAGGTCAATCACGACAATATCTAGTGTTGTTCCTTGTGCTCTATGAACTGATCTCCCAGCAGAAGGTTGTAATGGAAACTGGATTCTTTCAAAAGTTTTTTTGTTATATGTGAAGGTCCTTGTGATATCAAATGTTGGTGTCCAATTTTCATTTATTTGTGTGTGATAAAAGCCTCGATTCTTATATTTTAATCTAGTTCCACAACCAGCTTTCAAATCCACAAATTGTACCCATATGATACTAGGACGTTGTGTTTCCTTCAGTTTATACTCTATGAACTTTACAACACATGATGCACCATTTGCAAGTCCATCTTCAGTATTTGTATTGACTGTTAAATCATACAACATTCCTACAACAATATCCAATGAACAATGAAGATTAGCAGTTCTGTTTGGATCTGTGGGCAATCTTTTGATAGCCTCTTCTTGTTTATCCTTTGACAATTTTGGTGAAACAACAGAATCATGACAAAGAATGGACACTTTTTGATTG